GTTTCATGAGAGACTCCAAATGGCAGGTGGGACTGGAGGAGGGTCATTTTGATTAGCAAATGATAAATTTACCTTTGTCAGGTCATAATTTAAGGAGGAACCTCATTTGCACAAAGGTACAGATGGGAAAAGCTGTCATTAGTCTTACCTTTGTCCTCTAAAACTTAGTCTGTTAGTCTTCTGCTTGCTTTCTGCAACTTGATGCTGGATTAAAATGAACCCAGAATTGTTTTGGTTTTTCAGGGGTTTTTTTAAGGCTCATTGTGTGGTGGTGTGTGAAGAGTTTGTCACTGGCTCTGTTGTTATTGTTAGGGTTGGTTTGTTTTTTTTCCCTTTATTTGCTTTGAAAAAGAGATGGAGAAATCAAAAAAACAAATGCGAAGTGGAACAGCTGCATTCCTCTATGTTGCAAAGACCGAAAGCCAGTTAGTCTAAATAAAAACAAATAATTTGTCATCACCATTTCTAGCCCTCCTGTTGGTTTGCCACGATGAGAAAGTTGTAAGAAAGCAAACAGAGGAATATTCATGTGCCTCGTCAACAAGCAGGGGTGATGAGCGCAGAATAAACATCCATCCGAGAGTTATGTGATGATGCGTTCAGCGTGTGCATGGGAGCAGGGCCGGTGCGTATTACTAAACTCTAAATGCCAGGGTGGATAAGCAAGGCAGGGAGCCTGTGTTTCGGAGAGCAGCGTCTGCGCAGCAGGACGTAAGGGAGATAGGGTGGGACATCAAGTTTCCCAGCACAGTCACCAGAGCAAAACCTTGACGCTGTTGTAATGTTACTGACTTTTTTGTCCTTAGTTCCTTCAAGTACATCATGAAATATTTTATGAGAGCTTCTCTAGCTTGACATTCAGCAAATATCTGTTGTAGAGCCTTTTTAAAAGCCGTTTAAGAGCCTTTTCCCTAAAGTACACTCTGTTCTTGTTAGAGACTTCTCTCGGTCTGTGATACTCAGCAGTGTTGAGTATTCCGTTGATCTTTCTACTTTAATGTGTGGTTTTTAAAGGTGTTTGCATGCTTTTAGGAAATATGAAGACCTGAGTTAACCACTGAAAATTGGCTGCCAAACTGCCTAAAGTGCTAATTCTGATGAAATTTAGCACCTGACTTTTGCAGGAATGAACACATCTGGAATCTCTACTCTTCGGAGTTCAAGCTCTTGTAAAATAAAACTTGATTTAATGTGTTTCCAGTCTGAGTCTTAGTCAGCAAAACTTTGCAGGGTTTTTCTGTTGTTAGAAACTCCTTAAAATGCATTTTGAAGTTAAGCACTGACATCTTTAGCTGAAAGTCACGTTAAGGTGCTAAAAGAGTAGGTTAATTTGCAGCTGTACTGAGGAATCATAAATGCAAAACTGCAGTGTGATGCTTCAAAATGATGCACGTTGCTGTTTCCTTTTATTTCCTTTTTTTTGTGAGCAGATATCATGAAGAGTGAATGGTTCAAATGGCATTGCTTCCCTGCTTTTATTTAAAGTATCTGTATAAAAACATTGCAATGCTTAGGAACAGTTTGAAGAACTTCACTTGTCTGCTACTTAGAAATCTCCCAGTTCCTTCTGCCTCTTGGGCTGCCCTTCGTTTCAGCCTTTATTTAAGTTGGGAGATGCTGTGGTGGTGTTAGACATCCCACAGTCTGTCAGCTTCTGTTTAAAGTGGTGTATGGTGAGTGATTAACGGAAATTATTTCAGGAATAAAGGACTATTGGTAAGCTGATCCCTATTCAGAGAGCTGAAAGAAAAAGCAGAGTCACAAGGGATGTTGTCTCCAGGAAGAACTTGCTACATCTGTGGGGGGAAGACTTGGATTGGAAAGCAATGCTGAGTCTGCATTTTGAAATGCATCATAATTATATCTCATGGTCTGATTTGGAGAGCTTTTCCTGATGGCTCCAGAGACTGATTGTCACTTAACACCAGCAAAACGTTGGAGTGCTTTTCACGGCTTTTGCTGGGGTAGGTGTGCTGTACAGGGGAGGGCTGTGTGCTCTGAGCACCAGCGGACAAGGCGGCGTGTCACCTGTCTGCTGGGGAGCAGACGGTCTTTAAAGGCTGAGTTACCCCATTCCCCGCAGTGTTGGGTCAGTTAACCCAAAGTGATGCTGCATTTCTTCTTTGGTTTGCAGCTTTAAATTGAATCTGAAGTTTGTATTAACCTTGCTTATGCTAAGGACTGGGGAGGACAAGAGGAAATGGCCTCAAGTTGCGCCAGGGGAGGTTTAGATTGGATATTAGGAAAAATTTCTTCACCTAAAGGGTTATCAAGCATTGGAACAGGCTGCCCAGGGAAGTGGTTGAGTCACCATCCCTGAAGGTATTTAAAAGACGTGTAGACGTGGTGCTTAGGGACATGGTTTAGTGGTGGACTTGGCAGTGTTAGGTTAACAGTTGGACTTGATGATCTTAAAGGTCTTTTCTAACCAAAACGATTCTATGATTCTATGACTGTCCTTCTAAGTGTTGTCTTGGATTGAAGAAAAGACATAGAATCCATGAAACTATTCCAACTATAAAATGTTTCTGATCCTTTGTCTTTGATGTTTTCTCACTAGTAACTGATTAAAATTTCAAGTTATTATTTACAGCCACGTTAAAGTTTATATTCCCTTAATTGCGGCTTTGCTATTCCATAAAATGAAGACATTGGCGTATTTGCAAGGGTGAGCAGATCAATAGCCTGGTTAGGGGCTGTATCAGCACAACAGGTAAAGCTCCCTGTGACTTCCAATTTCAAACCAAAACCTATTGAAAGAAATCTGGCACGTGGCTGTTCTCTGAAACGGTTCACAAACCGTCTCGCATTGCTGGTTACCGCTGCATGTCCTTTTTGCTAATCTAAAGGGACAGTCAGTCCTAAACTGATTTTCTTGTTCCTGCTGGAAACTGTCATTTAGGGATCAAATAGCCCTCGTGCATGGGGAGGATGCAATAAGAATGAGAGAAAATTGAAAGTGCTGAGTGCTGCAGAAGTTAAAATACTGAACAAATAACTTCCTTCTATTTTTTTACGAGTCAAATCCAACAGCCTCTTTTTTGATGCTTTTGCTAAACAAGCATCTGCTTCTTTTTAGCACAGAGGAAAAGGCTTATTATTCAGCATTGATTTCTTTGTGTGGAGACAGAGTGGTCCTTGTTTTGGTGCTCTATTTACAGGGGTCCATTAATGTATTTACTGAGGGCAGGCAAGGAGGCTGCGATCAGAGCCAGGCTGCTTCCCCAGCGTAATTCCTCCATCCCGGGCGTCGGGGCGGTTGTAGAGCCGAGTCCTGGCACAGTGCCGCTTCGCAAGGCGTCAGGACCTCTGCTCTCCGGCTGACCGCAGCCACTCTCAGTGCTGGCCACCTCCACCGTAACCAGCAAAAGAAGCGATGGAGCAATGTCCTCCTCGACCTGCCTGCGTCCGGGCTGTGGCTGCTCTGCTCTTTCCAAGTCTGCGAGGCTGGGCTTGTGCCTGGGGGAGCCGTGGCTGTCGGGGAGGGTGTGGGGCTGTGTTGGGTGCACAGGGTGCCCTGCTTTGAGCGGGTGCCAGGGCGCTTGCCAGCTTCTGGTCAGACTGTCCCCGTCCCGGGAAGACAGCCAGCTCTGGCAGTGATTCAGGCAAGTCAGTGGTCTCCTTCCATCTTTAAAGTGCTGGGCATACTTTGTCTAAATATAGGTGCCCCTGGACTTGGCTGCTGCGGGGAGGGACAGTATGTTGACCTTAGCGTGTCTCCTTTGACTTGCATTACAGTCATATTTAAAGCAGAGGGTCCTTCTTGCAGGGCGCTGCCAGTGAGGCCAAACATGGTCAGGTCTGTGACAGCGATGAATCCTGCACCTGCATGTGCAGGGAGATCGGAGTAAAAATTAGTTAGAAAATATCCTGTCTTAAACATATTTAAACGTAGTGGGGAGAGACCTTTCAGGCTTGCTGATTGTTAACAAACTGCTCAAGGATGTGTCAGCTATTGTTTAAGGTTTAAAAAGAAATGTGCTGTGTATGAAAGCAACACTTTCAAACTCTGGTGGCAGAGGAGATTATTGTGTGGTGTAAAGACGATCAACATGGACTGTGTTAATTCTGAGAGGAAAAAAAGATAAGTATGTGTCAGAGGGGTGTTCTTTCTGAAGATAACTAATCAAAAAGCTATTTATTTTTTTCTTTGATCCTTGATGCGATAGATTCTCCTTATGAAGTTTTCTCATGTTGATTGCAGTGTTTTTAAGAATATATCTCTGAAAGCATTTTGTTCATACCACAGCAGCTGGCTGATTTTGGACAGACTGAGCTGGCAGGAGTGCGGCACGTGGTGGTAAAGCACTGCGGAGCGCTCCCTTGGGTATAACTGTCCTGCTCCGTGAACCCGATGGTATGCATTAAAGTCTGTGGATGTTTAAACGGTATGTAGCGCAAGAAGAATGTCGTGTAGGGCTTTAATCTGGGAACGTCTTGACTTGGAGACCTGGAAGCCTTTGGGGACTATCATGTAAAACAAATTCCTTTCACGGTCTCGCTTCCGGTCTGGGTCTCTTGCTTTAAAAAGTGCATAGAATCGAATTTCTTCTGTAAACACTAAGTGCCCAGATTTCTTAATAAGCATCCTAATTGTGTTAGCCACCCCCTTTCTGGTACATGAACTGGTGTGCTCGGACTGTAGAAAACGGGTTTGTGCCTCTCTTCAGACCCGAATTCCAGAGCACGTCAGAGCTTTGTTTACACAACTTGCCTTGCTGTTGCTTTTTGGACTATTTTTCTTCTCTCTGGGTGGATTCTCTGAAGCTGGCTTGGAGGGTGACTATGGGCCATCCGACATGTGGCTTGTTGGGGCTCCTGTAGTGTTGTATAGCAAGGTAGACAGTCAGTAAAGTATTTTGCTGTGTGTGCTGCGTGGGAAATGAGTACGTTTCAGTGTGTGATAGCTTGCATCCATCCTTGCGTATCTCTGTTCTTCATTGCTGTGGTGAATCATACAGTCTGTGCCCAAGTTCATATTCCTTGAAATAAATAATTACCTGATGATCTGTGCGGCAGCGGGATGTCCCAGCCCATGCTGCGTTTCGGTGGCGGCAGCAGCGTTGCGACTCAGCACGTCTCGCTCGCCCATGAGCTGCCCAACCTCGGCACGAGGACGTTTGCTCACTTTCTCAGCCGCTGCTCTGAGGGTGCCGAGCGCTGGCAGGAAGCGATGCAGACGGGCTCGGCAGCGAGGTGACACAGGGAGGGTTGTGCGTGTGTTACTGTATGAGCACGCGTTCAGCAGCAGCCCTGTGAAACGTAATATGGAGCTGTCAGCAGCAGGCATGGGCGCACAGATGGGTGGGAAGGCAGCGCTGAGCTCGCAGCGTTTGCTCCGCCGGGCGGGCTGGTGAGGAGGCAGCCGATGCCTGTGCGAGGGGTCTGCCTGCATTGCCTTTGATTTAGGAGTTTGTGTGTTGTTGAGCTGGTTCATTCGTAGGCCAGGGGTACATGAAGGGAACGGGAAACCCACGCAGACTTTGACTTTTATCAGAAATGATAAAATGTCTTATTCTGGAGTCCAGCTTAAAACAAAACCCAGTCTGCTTTCCTGCGCCTGTGACAAATAAATCCTAGCCCTGCCTGCAAGGGAATACATTTGGCAGGAGTCCAAAGGTCAGTTCTCCACTGCAGAGCGAGACTCGGGGCACTGGGAGGCAGAGGAATGCTGCAGGTGGTTGTGGTGGTCTTCGGCACAGCGCAGACCCGTTGCAGCTGCGTGGGCTGAAAACTTTGGCTGCAAACAGCAGCTGTCATTGCTCCCCTTGCTGGCAGCAAGGCATCTCTGGCAGGGATGAGTTTCTTAGCCCAGAGCTGTCGTCTTCTGTGCTGTCTCCAAAGGATGCCACTGCTCTTACCAGCATACCCAGGCTGCCCAAGCTGCTTTGACTCTGAAGTTTGCAAAATGGTTTCTGGAGTTCAACTCAAATGGTCCTGGTGGCAGAGGAGCACTGATGGCATGTGTGCGTGATGATTTTTTCCAGTAGTGGGCTTGACTTGTAGACCATTAACTCAGTAGGGTATTGAGTGGGCGTCACACTCCCTACAGCCTTGTTGGATGACCTGAGGCTGGTTAGATCCCATCTCTGAAACTGTGTCTGTGAGCATGGTTGTTTTGTGCATCTGAAGTGGTTGCTCTTCACTTCCAAACACAACCATGCTCATCAGTGCTCCCTTTTGCAAGTTGTGCCCTCTCTGAATTTACCATAAATTCTCTCCTCGGAGCAAGTAAAAGGAATGCCTTTAGAGTTCAGATTCGCACCCATCATCCTCACCTTTGGGTATCTTCTAGCAAACTGTAAGTTGTTCTTGTTGCCTTAGCTCAGCTTCAGCAGATGTCAATATCAGAGACCAAAGCAAGGGAAAAGGCAACTTGGCTATGGTGAGAAGGGATCAGTAGATAAGTTAGTACAAATGAGTTACTGTTGGCATTGCAGAGCTTTCTGTGATTTTGCCTGTCTGTGTCATTGCAGCTGAATTCTCTCTCCAGGGAGCCCCACCTTGGAGCAGAGGAAGTGCCTGTAGACAGTTCCTTTAAAAAAAAAAAAAAAGGCACAAATGCAGATGTTGCTAAAAATGCAGTTTGCGTCAAACATTTGCAATGAACTGGGTTCCCACGCTTGCTTTGTTTTTCTCCTTGTGCTGTTTCTTAAGTTGCAAAAGTGCTGAGTGGCGAGACAGCCTTTGGAGAACCACTTCCCCTTTCTCTCCCTGCCCTCAATGTTGTCACCTCTGTTGACAGTGTTACAGAGCCCTTTTCGGTAAGTCATGGCCCTTGTTTTGCTCTGCCCTGGGTTTGTTTCTATTTTGGATATCAGAGAAGCCTAGACTTGTCTGTGTGTGCTGCCAGCTGACCCTGTTAATACAAATGTCAGTGTAGAGCAATCCTGAGTTATCCTTGCCTTTTCCATTTCCCTGTTGTTGTGGTGTTTTTTTGTTTAGTGGGGTTTGTTTTGGTTTTTTTTTTATTAGTGACTGGTACTACTTTGTTTTGCACAGCTCTGAGATCTGGCCTCTGTGTGAAGAGAACTGGGTGCATTCATCACTTGCCTAGGAACAAAGGCTTAAACTGGAAGCCAAACATTGCTCTCCTATATAATTTGCTAATGCTGTTGTCATAGGCAATTATTAAACCAGGTGCTTTAAAAAGCAGGCAAGGAAAATAGGGATGGTGTTTATTGAAAAACAAACTACAGAGAAGGTAAAAGAGTTAGGTGCTTGTCTAGGGAGGGATGCTGGAGGTGTGCGATGCTCTCACCTGGTGGTTTGATGGAGAAATGCCCTTGGCTGCCAGGCTGCACATACTTCCAGCTGCGGGCCCAGCCACCATTGCACCCTTGGCTGGGGGACTGATGCTTCATTAACCAGGACTTTTCTTGTGGCCGGGTGGAGTGAGTGAGAGGCTGGGGGAGGCTGGTGGTGAGCCCCGGTCCTGGAGCAGGTGTGATGCCGTGCCCCGGGCCTGCCTGCGGAGGAAGGGAAACAGCCAGTTTGGGAAGGGGAGCAGGAAAGGGGAGGGAAATGGCTTGAGGTGCTGAGAAAAACAGCAGGCTGCTCGGCCTGCCCTCCTGTAGCTTTTTCCACACCAGGCACAGCAAGCTGCAGTCGGAATTGCTGCTCTTGCAGGGTGAGTCCTGGCATGCTACAAGAGCTTGCTCTCATGTCCCCGGCTGCCCTTCCTCCACGCCTGGCTCCACAGCCTTGGGAATGAGCTAAGTATTGCTGCCTGCTACATCACTCCTGCCAGCGTCTGAATTTTGGTCTTTTTCTTGGTTTTGTGTTTTGCAGCCTATGGATTAAAGGAGGATGACAGAGCTGAGCTGGCAGCAGATGAGATGTGCAATGCAGAGCTGTGCACTCCCCCCCTGCAGCACGCTCTGGCTTCTCATGTTAGAGCAAAATGTCGGGGGGCTCTTGAGGGAGCAGCCTGGCTTAAAACTGAGGGGAAGTAACTGGGCATGCAAGATTTTTTTCAGTTCCTAGTAGACACTCTTTTTCAGTGTGTCTCTTCCCCGTCCTACGCCTCTTTAGCTGCTGGCTCTTCAGACGGGGGCTGCCTTTCGCTGCACACGTGAGCAGTGTTTGGTAGAGCGGGCTCCCAGCTGAAATCACCAGCGCTTTAGCACAGATGTCTGCATCGACACTTCCCGTTTTCAGGGCTTCGGCTGCTGAATGCTCCCAGTTAGTGAACACCAGGGTTAACTTGTGACATTCCTTACTGTCAGACTTGCCTGCCTGCTTTCAGTCAGTGTTTCTGCTTTTCTTTGTTTGCCTTTGGTCTAACTGGCTGCTGGAGGGGAAGGGTATGTCCTGCAGATGGGTCGGAAACTGGAAGCCCTTCCTGGCGGTGCACAGTCCTGCCAGCAAGCTTCTTGTGTTTGCAAAGCTTGTGCTGGGTGGTGGTTTTGTCCCAAGAGATGCCCTTTAGGAAAACCTCCGTTTGCTTAGGATTTGGAAGCCTCCGTAGTTACTGCACAATGGTCTTGTCATGGGGAGCTACAGCTGGAGCCAGGCTTGGCGTTGAAATCCCAGCGCAGCCTCCCAGTGCTGAGCCATAGCTCACAAACACTGCTAGGATGCTGCTAAAAAGAGCACTTTTCTGCAGGGTTCTGGTTAGTAAATACCTGAGGCTGACAGAGAAATTATGTTTGTATTTCTGTAAATAATGCAGGTAGTGGACTTTTCAAGATACTTGACATTTGAATAAATCTTCATTTCCCCTATCCCATCATTTTTTAATCTCCCCCTTTCTTCTAAGGGTGAGGGGGAATGGCACAGGAAGATGTGACCTGCCTGCAGTGTCCATGTTGCTGCCTGTACGTGCCGTGGGCACGGCTGGTGAGGAGGTGACAGCGGTGGGAAGACTTCTCCTGCTGAACCTTTCAGGGGATGGTGCCAGCTCTGTTGGTTGTGCTACTTGGCAAGTGCCCGATTAAGGGCTGGGCTGGACGGGACAGAGCCTGCTGTAAAGGAAACTGCTCTGATGAGTAAGTAGAGCCAACTGGAAAGTCATCCTCAGGCTCGCAATAACTTAATTAAGCATTTATTAGGATAAAACATTGCCAGAAGCTGTTCAGGTGCCTCTTTGCTTTCCTTGCTGTACGTCTGAAAAGGTTTTCTCTCTTTTCTTTATGAAATAGTTTCTGAAGAAGACTACAAGGTTCCTTTCTGAGTATTTTACATTGAGGACTGAGAATTTTTTGTTGAAAACTGGTGGGTGGTGCAGATTCACCTACTTCCTGGCTGGTGGTGCAGCGCTCTGGACGAGCAGCTCCCCGGCTGAGCAGCCCCGTAGGTGGAAGGCATTGTACGGCGGGGTCATGGCAAAGTGTCAGATGATTCGTGTTACCGCATCGCTTTGGCATAGTCCATAAACCAGTAACATTTTCTCTTTTGTGTCTTCAAAACAGTTTATTTGGTGTTTGTGCTTGCAGTTTATGAACAGAGCTGTGCAGGGTAACAGCTGGGAAGGCATTCACTATTTGTTTGCCATCTGTAAGTTTTATGTGGTTCCCTGATTTTGTAGCATAATGAGAATTTGGTATGAACCATGCAGTGTTTTTGTCGTGCACGAGGGGCTCAGCTGCTGGGCAGCAAGTCGGGGAGTGCGGGAATCGCTTCTGCTTCGTGCTGTTACTGCTGTTTAGAAACTGGGTCTTCTGAGGGGAATGTCTATGCTTCTTGTGCAGAAGGCTTTAAATAGTTTTGATGATGTGCCTTGTACAATTTCTACAAAATCTCTTCTGCCTAGGAGAAAAATTGGTACAAGTAGTAATTTCTGTAGGAGTTGCTTAAGTCTTCTGCTTATGTTGGTTCTTTTCCCAGTGAGCAATGAATTACAAATAGCACATCCCTGGTGGCCTTAAGGTTGCTACTTCGCTTCAGAGGTGAACGGGCTAAACATGGAACAGAAGCGCTTTTTTTTTCCACAGCTGTAGTGCTGAGGGTTGCTTATAGCTTTAATAACTCTTACTTGGGACATATCTATGAAAGTCTTCTCCAGAAGAAAGCCACTGTGTAGCACAAAGGACTGATGACGAGCCTGGTGTGCTGATAAAATACAACTCAGCTTTGTTACCTCTGCCAAGTTGGCTCCCTGTCATCTTCTCTTCTGGACTCAACTTCTTCCTAACCACATTTAGTGTCTTTTAATACCCATTCTGTTTCCAGGAGATTGTTTCAAAGAGCACTGAAGCTCCAGTAGGCTCTGGCAAACCAGATTTTATGAAGTATTTCAAAGCCCAGGTTATGCTTGGAAGCCATCGAGCTGTCAGCAGGGTAAAATCAGTAGTGGATGGTAGCATGGCTCTGCTGTTATGGTGAGCACAGTCCCACATCATGAGAGTTGTTTTGAGCCTCTAACTGTCCTTTTCACCACATCTTTTCTACCTTTTGTGTTTCTGAAGCATCTCAGAGTGGGGCCTGCTGTTAGCGTCCTAAAGGAGGAATCCTCTCCCCTTATATATTGGGGGCAGTATCCAAAGGTGATCTTGCCCTGAAGTATGATGCTTTTGGGAAAGATCACGGCTGGGGCTATCCAGGCAGGGTGGACCCAAATGGAGCAGCCAGCTGTGGGTGGTACAGGGGATGTCAGGCCAGCGATTGCTTTTTTTTGTCCCTGTAGTGCATCACAGGCACCAAAATCAGCATCTCCTGAAAGAACAGTGTTGAGCTTCACCAGTAGTTATTATTACAGCTGTTTGGACTTTTCTATAAACTTCTTGCCTTTCCTCCCAAAATTTTCTTTACTGCTTGAATCTCAGAGCAAGGGCTTGGTTGCGTGTTTGTGTATTATGGGCTTTTTTGCTAGGGTGCTTTGCTGGATGGGATGTGTTGTGTGTCTGGTGTTAGGAGTTCATGGCAGGTGATGCCGAGAGTGCCGATAGTGTGCCATGCCCTCGTCCGCACAGTGAGTGTCTGTAATTGGCAGAAGGACGAGGCTCTTGTCTCCGCCGATCTGCTCTTTTCCCAACAGTGCTGATGGCCATCTCCTGCATTCGCTCCTGCCCTGCGGGAGGTGCTGCCCTGCCTGCTTGACCTCCCTGCTCTACAAGAATGATCTGCTTTGTCACATTCCTCACCTGTTCCAACTCTTCGTATGGGAAATTACATTCCCTTTCCCTAGCCTTACCAACTCAAACTTGTTACTTGTGGTTAATGGCCCAAAACAAGGTTCTCCATGGCCTTAGGAGAGAAGGTGGCCTCCTGGAAGGATGTACCTGATGGGAATCTCTTTAGTTCTGCCCATGTTTCTTCTCCAGGCAGGTGGCTGACAGCGAGTGCTGGTGATAAGGGAAAGTGATGGAGTGAGAAGATTTTTAACCTCCCAGCCCTTTTGCTGCATGCTGCTTTATCCACTAAAAATAGTTGCTAATTCAACCTTCTGGGGAAACTTCAGGCACAGACTAAAGGATTGCTAATATTAGTTGTTGGCTTTGCTGATAAAATTAACTATGTGAAAACTGGCTGTGACTGCTGAACTCTTTCTCCTCCTGTGCAGCTTGAAATTCATTTGCCTCTGTGGTGAGATTGTAAAGGGAGGAGGAGAAGGGGGGAATGTCTTCTCACTCTTTCTGCATCGTTATCTTGTCTCCTGAAGAGGCTCAGCAAAGCACAGCATGTTCTCTTGCCCCATTCTTGCTTGTGGGTGCTAGTCTGAAAGCAGAAGTGTACTTCTTCAGGACATCAGGGCACTGCTGAATCGAAACATGTTCAAGCTAAGCGAGGGAGAATCATGATATTATTACTATTATTGTTAATTTTTTTAAAGTTAGTGGCTTCAGGATAACTCTGTGTTTCTCAAGTTCGGGCTTTAAGAAACTGTGTAGCTTGAGGGCTTTCAGAGGATCTATTTGTCACCAAAAGCTAGAAAAGCTCAGTCAAAATTTTTTGTATGAGAAGGGTCTGAGGAAACATCTGTGCTCAGTGTGCCCAATGAATTTAAATTTTATTTTTTGTTTTGTTTTAAACTTTAGCGTAGGTAAAGATCTCTGATCCATTTTAATTTGGGATGAGTGATTTTTCCTTTTTAAAATTCTAGTTTTATTGAAACATCCAGTGCATGTTTGACATCTGGTTTAATTTTAGAAAATAGTCCTGGGAGAAACTTTGTCAGTAAGGAGGAGTGCTGAGGTTATGACAGACAGCGCATAACATCGGGATGTGCTACAGGCTTAAAAAAGAAGGTCTTTCTGAGTGTATGCATCTGCTTTGCTGGAGCTCAGAAAATTTTATTTTTTTGATATCCCCATCAGGAAAATGGGGAGGTGCCCAGAAATGAGCTTGAGGTTAGGGGGAAATCCAACTTTAACACAAGCTTTTATAATTCTTGTAGCTATAAAAACGTAGTCAGCAAAGCCTATTGTTAAAGCGGTCAACCTCAAATCATGAAACTAGAAGATCACAGGCTCATGCCATGCTGTGTCCTGGTTCCTGGTCATGTTTGATTTCTCTGTGGCGCTGTTGTCTTCGTTCGTGCTTAGGTGTACGCCTGCCTTTGAGTAGCTACTGAAACATGTCCCTGGAGTAGGGGCTGCAGGCAGCAGTTAGCTTTTGCTTAGGCTGCAGAGTGGAAGTAGCTGTGAAGGGTGGTGACTTGGCATGTTCTAGCGTTCACCCGCAGTTTGTAGCATGGAATTTCTTCAAATATATGGCGGGGTTTTTCACTCTATTATTATTTCCCGGTCCTTGTCTCTTAAAGGAAGGGAATAAATAATTAGGTTTGGTATTTGTTTAAGCAGAGAAAGGAACTAAGAAGTTCCTAGTCTCTTGTTCAGTTGAAGAGAACAAGCCAATGTCTTTTTCAAGTCATGGAGCTGCTGGGGTGCACGATGCCAGGGACTCTCCCATCCTGTCTTATCATGTTCGTCAACCATCCTGTTGACTGTAGAATTGTTTCTGGCTTTCTTCAAAGCATGTATGACTGTCTTACCAATTCTGAGAAAAGCAGAAACCCTTAACTATGCAACAGGATGGCTTAATTGCAAAATCTGTAGTCTCTTGCTTTTTTCATGAGCCACAGCATCTCTAAGAAAACTACTGGAAGATGTGCTTAAAATATCAGCTCTTCCACAGAACTTGAGAACTCTTTATTGCCCCTTTCCACAAACCGCTCTCCTCATGTGACTTCAGAAAGGGCAAAATCAAGGCAGTAAGTGACGTCTGAATTCAACAGCATTACAGTTTTGCTTTTAATTTATAAGTCTTTGAGAGTTAATTATCATACGACTCATAGACAGTAGTTTCATGATTTCTTAATCTGTTATGTACACTAATTTTCTTTTGGCTAACTGCTGAAGGGAGACATTTGTTTCTGCAGGGCATCAGCTGTGTCTCAACCACAAAGCACAGGGTTAACAGAATCCGTAATTATAGAGATGCGTGGGCTTGCTGTATTAATCGCCATTTAGAAATGTGGATCTCCCATCTTGATTTTCCAATCAAAAATATAGCCATAGGTTAATCCCCTCTGCTGCTCAGGTTCTACATCTGCAGGCAGAACAGCAGGCATATGTTCTGCTTTTCAGTATTTCTCTGTTCATGTTGTTCTCAGTTATGCTTTGAACGTTTGCAGTACTTACGGGCGGGAAAGTTCTTTACCAACAAAGCAATTCAGTCTAAATCGCTTCCTTGCAAAAGAACAGAGCATGCATTCAATGCCTTGTTCCATTGCTTTTCTCCTTTTAAAGACAATACAGAGTTTTCCTTACTGTTTGTCTCTTTCCCTTGCAGCATCAGCGAAAGCTTCCTCACTGTGAAAGGTGCAGCTCTCTTCCTGCCGAGAGGAAATGGGTCGTCTACTCCCAGGATCAGTCACAGGCGCAACAAGCATGCAGGTAACGTGTTGCATGCCACGGCTGAGGCTTGTCTGCTCATTCTTGTTTCCGAGTCCACCTTTCTTGGGTTCGTTCTCACCAGATGACACACATTTCTGTTTACACCAGGTGTGTATGACCTGCCAGTCTCATGACTGCAATATTTAATGCTGATAGGAAGAAAAAGGTTTCAGTACTCTCTTGTTTATCTTGCAAAATCAAACAAATGAGTGACATTAGGGCAGCAATTGTAACATCACAGAGAGCTGAGAACAACTGCTCCCCAAAATACCATCCTATAATTTTTGTATGAGAGAGGGGCTGGAGGATTGGAATCAAAACCTTCGTGCATTGCACTGGGAAACCTGAGGTTATGATATTGGGATGAGTAATTGTCCTTCCTGACCTGAAAGTAACCGGATATGATGGAAGAAAGGGAGGAGACTTACCTCTACATGGTAGTGAAGAAACCTCTGAGCACAGTCAGTGTGACTTTTCAGACGTGTGAGCAGAGTGAATAATACAGTCATAATTCCACCCCCTTTATCGGCTGAAAGTTGTTTGTGGGTTTGGGGTTTTTTTTTGCTTAGACTCTCTGTTTGAAAAGTCAGTCTGAATAATGAAACTCAAACATTTCAGGGTAGGTTGTTTTTCATTGTGTATGTGGTGCTTATTCACTGATGGTGTTTTACAGGGATCAGATAGTGGGGGGGAGGTTCCCTTCCATTAAACAATCAGAGGAAAAAAAGGGTTTTTTTTTTCGCTTAGACTCTCTGTTTGAAAAGTCAGTCTGAATAATGAAACTCAAACATTTCAGGGTAGGTTGTTTTTCATTGTGTATGTGGTGCTTATTCACTGATGGTGTTTTACAGGGATCAGATAGTGGGGGGGAGGTTCCCTTCCATTAAACAATCAGCAGGAAAAAAACAACATTGAGACCTTCAGGCTTTTGCATATGGGACAGAGACAGAAACAGAGGCTGGAGTCAACTTCCTTTGCCAAAAAGTGATCACCAAAAGGTGATTTTGTTTGGTTCCAGGAGTAGATTTCTTTGTACTTTGATACCATCAGACTGTCATCCAGCTCTATATCCGGCAGAGTTACCTACCTGATGACTGGTCCACCTCAAAATCTGTTTACAAACATCTTTATAGAAAGAGTTCAAGTCAAAAGGCAATTTATTACATACTTCCACTCAGACATAGTCCAAGCAGTACCCAAATTGAATGAGATGCATTAATTACCAGTTATCAAAAGAAAATAAATTGTTCTGAAATTTAATTTAAACCTGGCCTTTCTGGTTGAGATTGAAGTGAAATGGTCTTCAGCGTGAAAGTAGAGTCAGCAGTCTTTTAAAAGTTTATCTTGACCTGTCTTGGTTTTTAATCTCTCCAAAGTCCTCTGCATAATAGAAGCCCAGGTCAGTTGCTGTCTTGGCTTTACCTTGCAGAGGAGACCCGCTGGATTGGTTTCCTTGTGAACCTGTGCAAGGCAGCGCAAACGGCTTTGAGTCTCTCTTGCTGCCTCATCTACTTGCCTACAGCTGACTTACATGGGGTCTGGAGACCTTGGTGGAAAATAGTTGCTTGTCTAATCAGCTCAGAGCTTTTAGAAGCCAGGTTGCCAAGAAAGCAAATCTGGTGTGTTGTAATTGCTTACAGCAAGATGTTTTGTAAATTTAAGAGGCTGGCTTGCCCAAGGGGTGGGATTTTTGTTCTTAGAAGACCCTCTTTATTCCTGTCTCTTCAGCTTATGGAGTGAGATTTAATGAGGCATCAGTACTTGTCCTTTCCTCAGTTTCCCTGCTTGTCAAGTGATGTGAATGGTATAGTATTTTTTTATGGTGCTTGGAGATTTCACTGAAAAGAGACCTTTGTATGAGTGTGCACCATCTTTCTTTTCTGTGAACTTTTCTAACGTACAATATATGCCAGCAGACCAAGACGCCAAGGGATCAATGTGTCTCCGTCCTGAGCAAAACATCTGTGCCACCAAAATTAAAACAGTGATGTAGAGAGTGTGGATCTGAGAGGTGAACCGGCCTCTTGGCAGTGAGCTGGCAGAGCATGTGGCGAAGAAAACTGTCTCCTTTCTTGGATTCTGATAATCTGTGCTCAACTTTCATTCCCGTGTGTCTCGTGACTTCTCTGGCACACAAAATTAGAAGTGGGGTGGAGAGCGGACATAAGTTTCCAGTATGAAATTGCCACCTATGGATGCAGTAGTGTTTCAAGTGGTTATGAGAGCATTTTCTAGGAAGGTTGACTAACCTTCCTGACCTCCCTTTCTATTTCATCAGAGGTGCTAGAATCCAGCATAAAGAGTAAATGCGTAACAGGAAATAATTAATGCTCACACCCATTTCTTTAATCGTATCATCTTCAGCAATGGAAATCACTAGCTGGCAGATTGGCTAGATAAGGTACCAGCTGTCCACACTCCTCTTGCTGGGTGGTCCTGTGCCCCGTGCCACCTGGCAAACGGGCTGTGTTCTGTAGGATGGTGGGCTTGCTTTTGCATTCCAGCAATGCTGGAGGAGGCCAGAAAAGGATGCAACTTCCTTGGGGCTTTTGCCATCTCTGGGATACTGTAAATCACTTTTAATATCCCACTCTAGCTGATGTTTTACACCTAGCCTGCCAGCTTGAAGGAAACAAAAGCATCTGCTCGTTGCTGGACAATGTGATAGGAAGCAGCAGTCATGCCACGAATGCCAGCGAAGCTGACAGCTCTTCGTAGGACAGGATGTGATATCTTTGTGCTGATTCTGGCATGCTAAAACCTTTCCTTTGCTTTTTCTTAATCCAGGAAGCTTACAAAATGCCTTGTGTGTTTGGGACTGAAAATGCTGCAAGTCGATTAAAGCTGACCAAGGAAGCAATACTTTCCTTTCCAGCTCTGGAGCTCCCAAGGCTGGCAGGGCAGGCTGGGGAACAGGGAGGGGTGCAATAAACTTTCTGAGGATGAGGGGTAGTGGAGCTCCTTGACTGAGCCTTGCAGAAAGGGTTGTCTTAGAAACTTCCTCTCTTTTTTTAAGTATTGAGATAATCCAGTATTCCTGGTGATGTTTTTTTTTTTTTAACTCTGGAAACTTCAGCTCTTACACTGGTTCCTGATATTGAATTACTGGCATCAATAGGTGGGAACTGTTACACTTTGGGGAGGGAAAAACTGAGGTGAAGCATCTTCCATTTCAAGCTGCCTAAAACATGTGAATGCCTCATGAGTCAAATAGTTGCTGGGCTCTTCCAGGCTGCAGGCAGGAGGTGCCACCTGAAGCAGAGGGACCTTTGCCTGTTGAGTCCAGTCCTCACCGATTCCCACTGCGCTAGCAGCTGAAACTTGCTGGAACTGAACAGCATTGCCAGGACTGCACTGCTGTTGACGTGGGGAAATCCTGTTTCCCACCGCACCCCTGGGAGGACAAGCATCCGATGGATGAGCTGGCCTTTCCTATGTTACCTGTCTCCCTAAATAATTGCTGTTTAGGGAGGCACGTGCCAGCCACTCCAGCGCTGGGAACACTGTCCTTGGGCAGGAAGTAGCGTCAGGTGCTTGTCACTGCTGGTACGTTGTATGTGACTTCCCTAGCACTGCAGAGTGCCTCAATTTTTCCCACCCCCAGTTAAAAATGCAGTCCCAGGGCATTGACTCATTCTCCATATGCTGAAATATGTTTCAAAGAGGAAGGAAGGAAGGGGAGAGCAGGGAATACCATGTCCTGCGTAGCCCACTCCACACGAGCTTACCTCTGCCCGTCAGGAGAGAGGCTGCAGCAGCCCTTCAGCCCTGCTGTTTCACCAGCTATAAAAATCATTTGGAAACTAGGTACCACGCTCTCGCTGGGCAGCATTTCCTTTCTTCCCCTTCCCTTTTGTGGCACTTCTGGATGCTGCTCCATGTCCGAGGTTTCCTTATTTCTGAAAGTCTGTGAAATAGCATGGATTCTAGCACCACCGATGAATTAGAAAGGGAAGTCAGGAAGGTTGGTCAACCTTCCTAGAAAATGCTCTCGTAGCCACTCGTGCTGAATACTTGCTCCAGCATTCGTGCTCTTCCCTGCAGTGTTGCCTAAACTCAGCTTCCCGGCTGTGGGGGAGTGGGAGAGGATGGGAGAGTAAAGGCTCCTCTTCCTGCCGATCTGTGCCACCCACCTGGCAGCCTTGCACTCTCCTTTCTGGGAATGCAGATGAATTTTCCAGGTAACGATTGAAAAAACAGCCCGTTGCTGGAGGTGTTAGTGCTTACTGACAGTCAGAAGTTAATGTGCTTAGCAGAGAAACTCTTGGCTCTCTACAGGCCGGGGAAGAGTGCTGAGAAGTCGGTGTGGCAGTACCAACAGAAAGGCATCTCACTTGTCTTTCAGATGCTGCTTTAGGAACCTGGGACACTCAGCTCTTTTTAAGAAGACTTTAAAGTTACTGCATGACTGTGATTCCCCTCCCCGCCCCCCCCTTTCAGTCTTCCTCTGCCTCACCGGTAAAAGTGAAGCAAGCATTTTCTAGGAAAAATTGTGGTTGCTTGATTTTTCAGGTGGCAATTCTCAGCTGCTTTTGGGTGGGATTGGTACCTAAGCGTATGTGGTCATGCGCTGCTCTAAGATAGGACTGAATCTCACTTCAAAGGAGATACTTTTGTCTAGGTAGCAGTTCTGCACTAAGTAATAAGTTGGTGTAAAAGAAATGGCAGATTCCTGATTTGAAGTGCATAGTAGAATGAGATGTTGAACCATGGGACGGGGTCCGTTTCTACCTAGTTTGCCTTGCCTTTTAAAGGAACAAAGAGTACTGAAACGCTTTTTTTTACCTCTGTTAAAAAGATAACAGGATTTAACAGGAGAGAGCATGGTAGGATGGGAACAGGTGAGCACATGGAGCAAAGAGCACCTGACTAAGCGATGGAGTTTTGTCATCTCTGAGTGGGTGGAAGTGACAACGCTCACGGTGACGTGTCAGGTTTCTTGGTGGACGTTTGCTCTGGCTGGACAGCCGGGAACCTGCATGTGATTTTAAAACTATTTTTGCGCATTCACCTTTCCCTCTTTCCTGCAGGGGATCTCCAGCAACACCTGCAGGCCATGTTCATACTGCTCCGCCCAGAAGACAACATCAGACTGGTAGGCTGGCTTTTTGCTTATCTGCTGTTAACGAATATAAAGGTGAAGTTCCACTTGACAAATACACCTGTGTAACTCATGAAAGCAGTGGTGTGTGTATGTTTGAGTGGTTTCATCAGCGGGTCTGGGGAGTCCTCTTTGCAACCACAAAGGTAAAAAAGCAGCTAATTATGAAAGGCCTGCTTATTTAGCTGTTCAGTGAGACAAATTGTATGGCTAGAAGACTGCCTTTGTCTGGACCAAGTACTGAGTACTTAGGCTCTCAAAAAGCGCTGTAACAATAGCCAGAGAAGCTGGGTAAATTAGCTTGTGTCCTATTTAAATCAAGAGTAGGTGACTTATATCTGACCGGCATGAACACTTGCCCTTCCACGTTAGTTCAGTTGTGTTGCTCACTCTGATTTCCTAACTAGTTGCATCCCAAAAGTCCATGGCTTATCAGGAAGGAGCATGTAGGATCCCCATGTCGGTATGTATTTATGTGCCTATATTGAACCTTGTCTTTCTGCTTTTCTGGGTGGTTGCTTCCTATAACGATGTAATGAAAATTAGGCATTGCTGTTTATAGCATTGATATGCAGTCCTAAAGACCTCCAGAAGCCAAAGAAGAGCAGTGAGGAATTTGTCTAGGACATGTTGAAGTGCTCTACAAGGTCAGGCATGACTGAAGTGTATCTGCACCTCTCATCACTCAGTAGCCCGAAGTTTCTTTCCTGTGTTGTCTTGGTGCTTCTTAGCAACGTATGCCCAAAGTAGGACTGCCAGCATCAGAAGTGTTATTCTGGCACCTCTGGTTTGCTGAATCCTCCTGAGCTGTGCTGGAGCTGGACTGATCTTATGAGTATAGATAGGAAACAGCCAAGGTTACTATGGAATGCTTTAGCCTTAAAAATGACCACTGCAAATAATTTGCCATAAGCAATCTTTGTAAGCAAAATAAAGGACCTACTCCCAAACTTCATCAGGCACACCTTGCTGTCACTAAAATCTTAGTGAAAGTGATGGGAATAGGAGTTCTCAGTGCTTTTCAAAATCTGAGCCAGGGTTAGAACATTGGAAGCTATTGAACAAATCATTGTTCAGCAATATCACTGGCTACATTGTGTGATTTGGGACAAATTAGCCTTAACAGCTGAATAAGGACTTTGTGGGCTGAGACATAAACCCTTTTGTTGGGAACTGCGTTTGGAATGCTGAAATCTTGCATGAGGTTAAGTTCGATAGTCTACTTGAATTTAATTGATTCTTGACGAATGAAGGGTGTGCAGAGCTGCAATAGACTCTCTCATAAAATAGTAGATACAAATTAGATTTGAAATATAAACAGTACTGAGAGAAATGCATTCTCTTCTTGCATTGGCTGCTGTCATTTGGAGGGCAGACTTCACAGCTCAGAGGGCAGCAGAGGAATCTAATCCTCTGTAAACCTACACTTAATATTTGGAACAACTCTTGTTTCTGTTGGAGCTATTGGCAGAGTTTTTTAGCCTTCCATGAGAGCAGGATTAGAGTAGTGGTACCAGTGTAAGGTCAGTAGGAAGGAGGAAAATGAGTTAAGAGTGCAAACTGATTGAACGTATTCCCGTAGCTTAGCAAAGTGGGGACTTGTTCACTCACATGTGTTCAGTAATAAAAGACTTCAGAAAGTTGGGCACTTTTTTTTGTCTTCAAATCAAATATCCCAGTGAGAAATGTGTTGTATGAAACATCTACTATCGTATAGCACAAAAAAGATGAAAGGTCAGTATGAACTTACTTCTTGGAATATGCTCTTCATAAGGGCTGATGTAAAACACCACATCACACTTCTGACCAAGCAAGAATGCAGCAGAAGATAAAGCTGGCTTGTGTTTAGGTGAGCCTAAAACCAAGAAAAGCATTGCTGGCCCTGAAAGGACTACAGAGGACTTCTTGTTCATGAACAGACTATAAATAACCTCCCCAAATTGATGAGAAAGCTAGCTCTATGTAGGTGAGCTGTTGAGAAAGAACCTTCTATCTCATCAGTCCCTGAAGCTAGGCCATCCTCCCTAGATTGACTGGGATTTCAAATATCTTCATTTAAAAGGCGTCAGACCACTGACTTGGTGTGCTCCTACTGTTGGGTGAGCATATGAACTAGAGCTTAATGAAAAGGTTAGAGACCAATTTGTGATTTGATGGGCATGTTAGAGCTCTGATAGTAACTTTTGAGGTTGGCTGGTTTACGATGTCAAGTTTGCTGTTTTATTATTCTAGTAAATTTAGCAAAACTCATTATCTGCTCCAATCATGGTTCTTTGCTTTGTGGGAAGGCTGTAAGTGTTGAATCTAGAGAGCCACAGTAAGCCATGCCCTGTTTCTCTTAATTGGCCCTCTGAAAATCCCACCCGACTGACTTGAAGCTACGTGACCTTTGATCGCTGTTTGTCTAGCCCTGTTCTAAAGCGTCTTGCATTAAGACCACACTTCCTATTACTGCTAGCCAAATTGGTTTAGCAAGGTGAGTTAGATTATGTTAATCCTCTTGCTGCTGGACTGTCCTCAAGAGAGGCAGAATAAAGCTCGTGTGTGGATGGCCCGGACACAGGGCAGCTGTTGTCCGCCTCCTCCCGTTTTAGGCAAGTCTTTTTGTTTCTGTTTGAGGTTTGGTTCCTAATGTAGATAATGACTTTAACCACCAAGACCTTGGTGATTGCTTGCTCTTCTAGGTTGAAGAGCACCCTTTCTATTTTGCTACAAGTGGTTAGTTGTAGAAACAGCTGTCTTTGGCAGAATTCACACCTTGAAGGCCTGACCACCTTGATCTTCCGTGTTTTCAAAGGAATCCCAGTGACTCAAGGAGCAAGAAGGAAATAAGGCTGGTTTTAGCATGACTTATCCTAAAGAAGTGGGGTGGGGCACAGTCTCTCGCTGTACAGAGCATGTCTGTCTGCTGGCATCAGCATTTGGGTAGTTTCTGTTAGTCTTTGGTCCCATTGGACAAGTCTAGAAGACGTGGTCAACACCATCTCCTGCCTGTACTTGCTATTCCGCCCCCATCACTAGAGCTGCTGCTCCCTGCAACACCACTGGGAAGCTTGCCCTGCTGCTCTCAGCATAGTCTCCTGCGATAGAGCACTCCGGTGAAATAGCGAGCTCTGTTTTGACTGCCACGTGCTGTTTTAACCTTTGTTGTAGACTCTGCAATATCTTGTGGCCAAGACTTACTGGCTAGTGGACAGGTGAGGTGTGAGGAGGTCAGAGGGGCCTTCCTCTAAGCAAGGAGGTGCCATTCTGGCCTCAAGACCAAGTTAGAAAGAACTAAAGGAGCGTATTGGGAAAAGCAGCCTACTCCTGAGAGATCCCACACAATATTTTGTGAGCTTTTTTGTTTTTTAAGGATAAAATGACTGTTTAAACTGGGCTCTCTGAGCCATGAACTTCTGTGGGCCACCAAGAAGTGTCTACACAAGCAGTGGCTCGGGAGGGCTGCTGGTGTTTGAGGAATTCAGGTTCAGTTTGCGAAGGATGTCAAACACCGCTTCAAGCTTCAACCATTGGATCGCGAGGAATTCAGCAACAGGGTCCCATCGCAGCAGGCAGGTTTCTGTCCGCAGCACAGGGCAAGGTTGGGCTGTGACGGCTCTTTCTTGCCCGTGTTTACTCTCTGTAGGCCCTGCTCAAAGTTAAAGAAGCAGTTTAACAATAAGGTAAACATTGAAGCCAGACAGCGTCCTGGGGTTGGATTAGGCTGTCCAAAGTTAAGACTCAGTATACATAATTAAGACACTTCCTTTCTAGGGATGTCCTAGTTTCTCTAGTTGGGATCCTGTAGCTAAAATAACTGCAAATGGCTTGGAACAGAGCCCAAAAAACACTGCAAGTAAAGGATGCCTACTGCAGATGTTTGTAGGCAAAACCTAAAACGCTGGGCTCCCTTCCCTGGGCTCCTCACTAACCAGCAGTCTGTCTGTAAGAAGACTTGCTGAAGTCACTTCAGTTCTCGCTTCCTTGTGGCTTCTGGAGGAGCATTACACTTCAGTGTAGCATTTCAGGAGCTTCAGTGTTGGTCTGACGCTCACAACTTAGCTGCACAGCTGCTTTCTGAATGCTGTCATAGTATTTGGTGGGCTGTGACGGCTCTTTCTTGCCCGTGTTTACTCTCTGTAGGCCCTGCTCAAAGTTAAAGAAGCAGTTTAACAATAAGGTAAACATTGAAGCCAGACAGCGTCCTGGGGTTGGATTAGGCTGTCCAAAGTTAAGACTCAGTATACATAATTAAGACACTTCCTTTCTAGGGATGTCCTAGTTTCTCTAGTTGGGATCCTGTAGCTAAAATAACTGCAAATGGCTTGGAACAGAGCCCAAAAAACACTGCAAGTAAAGGATGCCTACTGCAGATGTTTGTAGGCAAAACCTAAAACGCTGGGCTCCCTTCCCTGGGCTCCTCACTAACCAGCAGTCTATCTGTAAGAAGACTTGCTGAAGTCACTTCAGTTCTCGCTTCCTTGTGGCTTCTGGAGGAGCATTACACTTCAGTGTAGCATTTCAGGAGCTTCAGTGTTGGTCTGACACTCACAACTTAGCTGCACAGCTGCTTTCTGAATGCTGTCAGTAGTATTTGATTTGGGGGAGTTTGGGGTGAAATTCAGGCATCCTCCAGTCCTGCTTGATCTCTCTTTTGGCACTGGGGTGCACGTGGTTGTGGTAGGAGCAATGAAGCGCAATGACTTTCACCTCTTCTGAGCAATCCAAATCCAGCCATGGGTACACCTTAGTAATAGGGAAATCTTTTCCTGCCAGCTGTAAGGCAGTAGGGTTGCTTCTACACTAGGGAAGTTGCTGGAAAAATTCAAAGGACCAGCAGGAAACCTCATATCAGTTGGATCCTAGTTGTCCAGCTATCTGGGAGGGTGGTGGAAAGAGTCTCGTTGGAGCTGTTGTAGCATACAAAGGAAAGCTCTAGCTCTTTGGACAAAGCCCTCTGTGAGGTGGAGAGCACATTCAACACCCGTCTATCTCGCTGAACATGTAATGCTGCGTGAAGCTAACTAGGCTGGGACCAGTCAGAGGACTGTGACAGTCAGCCTCGTAGGCTACTGGTTAAACGCAGCCTTGGTGGGACAGAGCAGGGCTGCAGCAAGGTGTCCAGAAGGCACCAGGAACGTGCCAGCAGTTGAGGAAAGCATTGTGTGAGAGAGTAAGTCGCTTCTCCCTCTTCTGCTGGTTACCCAGCTGAGAAGTACGGGCCATCTGTACTAGTGCAAACTGCATCACTGCTTCTGCGCCTGTCACTCAGCATGAAAAGGTGGCTTGTAAAGGTAATAGTGTGTGTTTTGCTGGCTGCACTGCTGATCTCTCCCCTTCCTTTCTTTAGGCTGTAAGACTGGAAAGTACCTACCAGAACCGCACTAGATACATGGTGGTAGTGTCCACCAACGGCAGACAAGACACTGAAGAGAGCATTGTCCTAGGAATGGATTTCTCTTCCAATGACAGGTACTCATAGCATCCAGGTGGGGAAAGTCCTTGCGTTCAGCCACATGTTGAGTAAAGCGTAGAAACCATTCCCTGGTGTTCGTGCTTTCTGGGGATAGACTGCTTCAGATCTTCCAGCCTAACACCTTTCTTGAGACCCAGAATTCCCCTTTTATTTCTTGAAAGGAGGTAGAAAATGGAAGGCAACAGCACAGCTGAGCCTCAGGCTTGTGTGAGGACATTAAGTGCCGTTAAGTGTCTCTGAATGGTGAAGTCCCTAAGCCTTGCACCTGCACACCAGTGACGGGGATAACACCCATGCAAGGAAAGGAAAAGCTGCAATTAGAGGAGCTGGACATCAGGGTTCAGGAGAGCAGCTAATAAGAAAGTGACTGTCAGGCAGCCCCTTGCCAAGGTCATGGCACAAAGGGCCTGATGGGAATGTCAGGGTTGCTGGTGGCAGATCTTACACAACATGTACTCTCCCCAGACATCAGTATGTCATCAGGGTTTAGTGCTTTTGCTTCATTCATTTAAATTGCTGCTGACCTCTCCAAAAGGCTACAGAATGTGGCTGGGAAGCAGCCTTTTGCTGCTGGAGTGACTGTAAGCCAGCAGGCAGCATGCCCAGCAGCTTCACGGGCAGAAGCTTCAAGGATAGAAAGGGACACTGGGCACTTTGGAGAAGGCATGGAGGCACATGGTTCTTTTAAAGGTTTGTAAGTAAGTCTTGGCCTATGCGGGAAAGAAAAAACCTTGGTATTCAAACCATTTTGGAAGGTTTCATACACGTGCTTAGTTCTAGCACAACTGCTGCAGGAATGAGTCTTGCTGCTGACCCTAGCTGGTAGAAATTACTTTCACATAGTTAGCAGGCTCACTAGAAAATCTTTTTGAACTGTTTGGCTAAGAAATGGCCTTCCAAACAGCCTGCTGATCACAACAGCCACCATGCTTAATTTCAAGTGACTTGATTTGGATGCTTAGCTCAAGTGATGCCTGCTAAATGGGGGACCAGCTTGATGCTGCCACTGGCTCCTGGCTCCCTTCCTGTGCATGTGTGCACAGCTGTAGCTCAGAGATGCTCTTGCAGTAGTGTAAGAATAACTTGTCCTTGCACAGGTTGCTGTGAGCTTGGAGCTTGCTATTGGCTGTGATATACCAGCACAGCCACCTTTGATAACTGAGAGCTCACTGGTATTCAGTCTCTAATAACATAGCAGGGTCATTTTAGCTTTCTCCTAGAGTTACTGAGGTTCTGGATGGTCAGTCTGATACACCCTCCCCTAGCCCACTTGGTATTTATAACTCAATGTAGACTTGTTGCTATGGTCTCTGATAAGCGCTTGCTGAACAGTATCACTAAAAATACCCTGGCCACCTTGGGAAGCCTTTTAAAAACACATCTTTCCATGAGCTCATCTCATGTTGTCAACAGAAATAGCTGCATGCCGCAGTGTCTCCTTGTGCTGGGCACCAGTCGCTCCGAGGCGTGTGCATCTACAGGGCTTCGTGTCTGCTGACGCTCTGAAACCTCAAGTCTCACCTTCTTCCCCCATTTCTCATGAGCTGCAGAGACTGCAGGGGGTGTTAGGGCTTGTGGAAATTGGAGAGCAGTTAGTGCAAAGCATAAGAACAGGAGGCAGTTGAATCCGATTCTTCTTCAAGATGCTGCTTTGATTATGGACTGATTTTACAGCTTTATGAGATTCAGCTTTTTCGTTTGACAGCCTGGTGCAGGTTGTGTTGGGGTTCCTCCGCCCCTGCCTTTTTTCCATCGCTTGACTTCTGCTTTTAACTTGGCCTTTTGCTCAGTGTTACAGAAAGCAGGTGACTGTGAGGGCAGAGAGGTCAAAGCAGCTGAGAGAGGAGTGGGTTTGCCAAGAGGTGTCTGTCTCAGCTGGCTGTTGTGCTCATCCTTGAGGTGTGGGAGGGAGAAGAACGGTGAGGAGTCAACAACGGGTGACAGGCTGTGATTGCTAACCTACCGTGCTGCCAGTCACCCTGCTCTTACACTAGACTGATCCCAGTTGCCAGCAGCTGTGGCTGAGGGACAAACAAGAAAACAAAGCTATGGATTGCAAAATCAGAGCTAGAACCAAACCACTTGCGCCCGAGAGGGACTAATCTGTAAAGAAAGCCTTGAGCTTACTGAAGACTGTGAGCCCTCTCTGACCTTCCGCACAAAGCTTGCTGCTTCTGAATCCTGTTTGCTCCTCTCCTGGGCGTATGTTAACCCTTTAAGCTTGCTTGAAAGAGTACTGCTGTACCCTGTATCTGGTTAATGATCCTTGCCAGACACCTGTAGAACAACACTGGCTCTGTTTGTCCCTGAAGCAACATTGGGATTTTTCATTTTTTTCTAATGAGTGCAAACATCTGCAACCATTGCTGTGAAATTAGAATAATAGCATGGTGCTGTAGTAGATGGGCTGACCTTCTCTTTCTTACTACAGTAGCACTTGTACGATGGGCTTGGTGCTGCCGCTGTGGAGCGACACCTTAATCCACCTGGATGGGGATGGGTGAGTGTCTTTTGTATGTTCTAGGTCAATAGCAGAGGGTCTCCATGTGTTAGCTTACAGCATGGTGTGTGTGTGTGTGTATATATATATGCGACTACAGTAGCACTTGTACGATGGGCTTGGTGCTGCCGCTGTGGAGCGACACCTTAATCCACCTGGATGGGGACGGGTGAGTGTCTTTTGTATGTTCTAGGTCAATAGCAGAGGGTCTCCATGTGTTAGCTTACAGCATGGTGTGTGTGTGTGTGTATATATATATATGTATATGAGAAGAATGCCTGTCACTCAGCATGAAAAGGTGGCTTGTAAAGGTAATAGTGTGTGTTTTGCTGGCTGCACTGCTGATCTCTCCCCTTCCTTTCTTTAGGCTGTAAGACTGGAAAGTACCTACCAGAACCGCACTAGATACATGGTGGTAGTGTCCACCAACGGCAGACAAGACACTGAAGAGAGCATTGTCCTAGGAATGGATTTCTCTTCCAATGACAGGTACTCATAGCATCCAGGTGGGGAAAGTCCTTGCGTTCAGCCACATGTTGAGTAAAGCGTAGAAACCATTCCCTGGTGTTCGTGCTTTCTGGGGATAGACTGCTTCAGATCTTCCAGCCTAACACCTTTCTTGAGACCCAGAATTCCCCTTTTATTTCTTGAAAGGAGGTAGAAAATGGAAGGCAACAGCACAGCTGAGCCTCAGGCTTGTGTGAGGACACTAAGTGCCGTTAAGTGTCTCTGAATGGTGAAGTCCCTAAGCCTTGCACCTGCACACCAGTGACGGGGATAACACCCATGCAAGGAAAGGAAAAGCTGCAATTAGAGGAGCTGGACATCAGGGTTCAGGAGAGCAGCTAATAAGAAAGTGACTGTCAGGCAGCCCCTTGCCAAGGTCATGGCACAAAGGGCCTGATGGGAATGTCAGGGTTGCTGGTGGCAGATCTTACACAACATGTACTCTCCCCAGACATCAGTATGTCATCAGGGTTTAGTGCTTTTGCTTCATTCATTTAAATTGCTGCTGACCTCTCCAAAAGGCTACAGAATGTGGCTGGGAAGCAGCCTTTTGCTGCTGGAGTGACTGTAAGCCAGCAGGCAGCATGCCCAGCAGCTTCACGGGCAGAAGCTTCAAGGATAGAAAGGGACACTGGGCACTTTGGAGAAGGCATGGAGGCACATGGTTCTTTTAAAGGTTTGTAAGTAAGTCTTGGCCTATGCGGGAAAGAAAAAACCTTGGTATTCAAACCATTTTGGAAGGTTTCATACACGTGCTTAGTTCTAGCACAACTGCTGCAGGAATGAGTCTTGCTGCTGACCCTAGCTGGTAGAAATTACTTTCACATAGTTAGCAGGCTCACTAGAAAATCTTTTTGAACTGTTTGGCTAAGAAATGGCCTTCCAAACAGCCTGCTGATCACAACAGCCACCATGCTTAATTTCAAGTGACTTGATTTGGATGCTTAGCTCAAGTGATGCCTGCTAAATGGGGGACCAGCTTGATGCTGCCACTGGCTCCTGGCTCCCTTCCTGTGCATGTGTGCACAGCTGTAGCTCAGAGATGCTCTTGCAGTAGTGTAAGAATAACTTGTCCTTGCACAGGTTGCTGTGAGCTTGGAGCTTGCTATTGGCTGTGATATACCAGCACAGCCACCTTTGATAACTGAGAGCTCACTGGTATTCAGTCTCTAATAACATAGCAGGGTCATTTTAGCTTTCTCCTAGAGTTACTGAGGTTCTGGATGGTCAGTCTGATACACCCTCCCCTAGCCCACTTGGTATTTATAACTCAATGTAGACTTGTTGCTATGGTCTCTGATAAGCGCTTGCTGAACAGTATCACTAAAAATACCCTGGCCACCTTGGGAAGCCTTTTAAAAACACATCTTTCCATGAGCTCATCTCATGTTGTCAACAGAAATAGCTGCATGCCGCAGTGTCTCCTTGTGCTGGGCACCAGTCGCTCCGAGGCGTGTGCATCTACAGGGCTTCGTGTCTGCTGACGCTCTGAAACCTCAAGTCTCACCTTCTTCCCCCATTTCTCATGAGCTGCAGAGACTGCAGGGGGTGTTAGGGCTTGTGGAAATTGGAGAGCAGTTAGTGCAAAGCATAAGAACAGGAGGCAGTTGAATCCGATTCTTCTTCAAGATGCTGCTTTGATTATGGACTGATTTTACAGCTTTATGAGATTCAGCTTTTTCATTTGACAGCCTGGTGCAGGTTGTGTTGGGGTTCCTCCGCCCCTGCCTTTTTTCCATCGCTTGACTTCTGCTTTTAACTTGGCCTTTTGCTCAGTGTTACAGAAAGCAGGTGACTGTGAGGGCAGAGAGGTCAAAGCAGCTGAGAGAGGAGTGGGTTTGCCAAGAGGTGTCTGTCTCAGCTGGCTGTTGTGCTCATCCTTGAGGTGTGGGAGGGAGAAGAACGGTGAGGAGTCAACAACGGGTGACAGGCTGTGATTGCTAACCTACCGTGCTGCCAGTCACCCTGCTCTTACACTAGACTGATCCCAGTTGCCAGCAGCTGTGGCTGAGGGACAAACAAGAAAACAAAGCTATGGATTGCAAAATCAGAGCTAGAACCAAACCACTTGCGCCCGAGAGGGACTAATCTGTAAAGAAAGCCTTGAGCTTACTGAAGACTGTGAGCCCTCTCTGACCTTCCGCACAAAGCTTGCTGCTTCTGAATCCTGTTTGCTCCTCTCCTGGGCGTATGTTAACCCTTTAAGCTTGCTTGAAAGAGTACTGCTGTACCCTGTATCTGGTTAATGATCCTTGCCAGACACCTGTAGAACAACACTGGCTCTGTTTGTCCCTGAAGCAACATTGGGATTTTTCATTTTTTTCTAATGAGTGCAAACATCTGCAACCATTGCTGTGAAATTAGAATAATAGCATGGTGCTGTAGTAGATGGGCTGACCTTCTCTTTCTTACTACAGTAGCACTTGTACGATGGGCTTGGTGCTGCCGCTGTGGAGCGACACCTTAATCCACCTGGATGGGGATGGGTGAGTGTCTTTTGTATGTTCTAGGTCAATAGCAGAGGGTCTCCATGTGTTAGCTTACAGCATGGTGTGTGTGTGTGTGTATATATATATGCGTATGAGAAGAATTCAAATGATTGCAGAGCTCTAACAGGTCCAGCAGACCTCCTGCTGATGACCTGTATTGGGTTAGTAGGCTCAAAGGCCCTAAATCACAGTGGTTGTGGCAGGGAACACCAGTGATTGACTTATCTGTGAATAAACACGCCCTGAGACAGTGGCTCGTGTGTGTGTTTAAGCTGGAGTAAAGGAGCTTTTACTGGTGAGTGGGTGTGTAGTGAAAGCTCCTTAAAGGGATCCTATTATGTGTTCCTCCATCACGCTCGCAGCAGGCAGCGTTCAGCTGAACACAGAATAAGAATGATGTTTCTCTGCCAAATAGACACCTGACTTGCAGACTCCTGTTTGTGCCAGTTACAAAGGCTGTCCAGTGCAGTGCGTGGAATGACTTTTCTTTCCTTGGTAGCTGCCCCAGGATCACTTTAGCTGGACTCTGTTGCTCCCAGCTGTGGCACTGAATTTGTGTTGCCAAGGTAAACAGCACAGCCCAGCACTGTCCCACTGTCTTAGTTTCGTTCCCGAACAGCAGCCGCTTTAAAAAGTTATCTTAGAGCTTTTAGCGTGCTATTTTGATCTGTTTGCTAGCTGAACTCAGCAATGTATGCATAGGGCTACTCCTTTGCTGTTCTAACGTGCTACAAACTATCGGTTATTAACTGAAAAGTTGCTTTTGGGACACATTTTTACTGCGCCTTTTTTCCTCTCTCCAGAGGGTTCAGCGTATCGACAGATAACAGGGTTCATATATTCAAGCCAGTGTCTGTACAGGCAATGTGGTAAGTACTTACTATAATCTGTCCCAGTGATTGTTTTTCCAAGGTGTTTTGCCTGCTTGAGCTTTTAAAAAGCAGGTGCTGCTTTGCATTATTGGTATCTTGAGACCTACTCGAGCAGCCAGAAGTCTCTTTCAGAGACAGGAAAGGAAGTTTGATACCAAAGAAAAAAAGCATGCAAGTGCTGGTATACAGCAGTGAGTTTATAATACTGCTGCAGCCGCACCTTCGTCTTAGCTGGGGGCAGGAAGGAATAGGGTAATTTTCCTTGCAAAGGGCTGCTGCTTTGAATCTCTCCGAAGCAGAATTGCTTTGAGCATGTGTTTGAAATACTTTTTTATTTGTCATAAATAAGGAAATACACGCTGTGCATATTTTAGGAGTCTCTGTCTCCAGTGAGACATGTTCATTGTGATAGCGAGAAGGAAAGAGAAGCTGCCTGCATTTTTCTTTCCTTTTAGGGTGGCTCATGTAAGAATGTAGAGGCCATGAAAGTATTTCTGGCTCAAGTTTCTTTGCATTGCAGAAATACATTGCCTGTCAGGGTGTCATGCTACTGTGTCACCCCAGTGATTTTGACCTGGATCCTTCTGATCCCAGTCAAAGATTTAAAACAAGCTAAAAATAGGAGAGGGGGATTTGTTTCCCAGCAGCAGCTGAAGAAACTTCTGACATCCCTCGTGCAGTGAGAGAGGGCAGACACCTAAACACCTCAGTAAAGTCAAGTCCTAAGCCCTTGGTTGTGCAGCTCTCCGTGTCTCATTCCTGGGTGTCCCGGCCCTGCATGCAGGGGAGCTGATGGCACAGTAGGAGCTGTCAGAGCACCCTGTCTTGGACAAGAACTCTGCGCATCTTATTTATGGCTTAGGTAGTGGTAGCAGTTTTTGGAGCCAGACACACAGGTGCCTCTGCCCTCTGAGTTGTGGGCACCTTCGCTGCTATCCAGGTTTGTCTTGGCATACTTCAGATAAGACATGCAAGCTCTTGCAGCACGTGGTTATCCGCACCCTTGCAGGACGGCCCCCTGCTGTCCCCCCTCAGTGCCGGGGGCTGTTGCATATAGCACTGGGGTTTGTACCAACTGATGGGACGTGAGCAGCATCCTGGATTTGGCTGCTGCTTTGCGCTCAATACCAGCGTGAGGAAGGAATTATGATCCTGCAAGTATTTTTCCCTTTCTAGGTCTGCTCTGCAGAGTTTACATAAGGCTTGTGAGGTGGCACGGAGCAATAATTACTACCCAGGGAGCCTCTTCCTCACGTGGGTCAGTTACTATGAGAGCCATATCAACTCTGACCAGTCATCAGTCAATGAGTGGAACGCCATGCAAGATGTCCAGTCCCACCGGCCCGACTCGCCCGCCCTCTTCACAGATGTGTAAGTTGGTCTGGCTCTGCTGAGCCAAAGTGTTTGGCTGTCAAGCACTTCAGTCTCCAAATGAGGAGACAGTTTCCACAAGAGGTTACTCTTAATTAGGTATTAATGAGGAGAGGTTTCCTGTTCCAGATAATAAGCGGACCCCTAGTTAGGTAAACACCAGCACTGGAAGTTTAGCCCTCCTGGGCCTTGCATCTCCTCCAGCCTCTGTTTTCAGTGTAGTTGTTTACCTTGGGCTTTAGGCTCGCAGATCTTTGCTTCTGCAAGGTAAGTCCCGTGTTACTAGTGAGAGAGAATTGTGTTGTATTCTAGTACCTAGGCCTTCCTCTTTGCTGGTTTTGTCCTCTGGTTTCCAGGCCTGGTGTCTCCTGGAAGGAACAGGTTTCTCTGGACTTTGCTCTTATGATGGCGCGTCTGAGCACATGTTTAGAGTCACATGGTCTTTTTTTCCTTTGTTCATTTTGCTGTAAAGTGAAGTGTTGATGTATGCACTTCTGAGACTGTGAGCTCAGAAGCATTCTCATAGGCATCCATCTGATACACCTAAGAACGGGGACACAGAGCAATGTGGCTTTTCATTGTTCTGAGGAGCTCTGCAAGTGTGGAACAGGACAGTGTATAGGTCCCAAGCTGTATCCAGCTAAATGCTTGGATGTCTGGTGATACATGGTCCAAAACAGTGGCTGAGGTAGATAGATAGTTTGGAAAGGCAAAATTTATAGGCTGTATCAACATTCAAGGTTTACAACCCCTGTAATTAGTAATTGCTGATGGTACTGATACCATATAACCTCAAAGGTAGTCTGTGTCCAGATGTGATGCCAAGCACAAGGGCTTAGTTGCCCGGTTTGTAGTAGAAGGAATGACTTCACTAGTCCCCGCTGCTTTCCCAGTATAATAGTGCCATTGGTTGATTTATGCTCTCAGATATTTCCTGTTGCTGGAATTCAGTGAGTGAATAATAATGCTAAGCAGTTGTTCAGCTGTGAACAAGCCTTCACACTTGATTTGTTTTTAATGTACAAGGAGGGTGGATGAAAAGTTTTGGCAGGCTGTCAGATTAATATTCTCTTGTAGCTTTTCATATATAAATTTTATGTAACCCACCCTTTCCCTGGTGGCAGCAATTGAATGATTTCCTGGGGACACCTAGGCAGCATTCTCTTAATTGAGTCCTGAAATAATGTGTGAGGTTAAAAGGACCGGGAACTTCCATGATTTTTATTTGTGAACCACCAGTTGGACACTTGTAAAGCAGAGAAGTGTCTGTGCAGTCGCCATCCTGGCAGCCTTCCAGAGAAACGGAAAGGTGGTGCAAGATGTTACTGCTGGGTCCCTTCTAAAGATGATGGGTGAGACAGCTCTGTGCTGCTGCTCTGTTGCAACTTCCCCTGGTGTTAGTCAGGCTATTTTTGCAGCTGGTGATAAGGCCCCTGGCAGCAGAGGCTGGAGGAATGCACAGAGGCTTAGCTGCCCTCGTCTCTCCATGTAAGGAGCTTTGGAGCTGTTACCTTTCCAAGAAAGGTAGGGGGAAGCTTAGATAGTGCTCCAGAGAGTATAATGCAGCCTTCCCAATTTAAATTTTACCAAATACCAGAGGTTCTCTGGATGACTACAATGGATTAGGAGCATTCAGTTGGTCTCTTTCATACACAACTGGGAGTCTAAACTGGGCTTTACAGTCACCTGAATTCCCTCCAGCTGAGGACGTGCTTGGGGGAAGTAGTGTCAGTATCTGAGACTCTGCAGAGTATATAGTCTATACAATACCTGTTTAAAAAGTGTCATGAGTCCAGTTTGTTTCCCTTCCCCGTGACTCTCTTGCTTTCTTCTGATAGCCCGACTGAGCGGGAGCGCACGGAACGGCTAATTAAGACCAAGTTAAGGGAGATCATGATGCAGAAAGATTTGGAGAACATCACGTCAAAAGAGGTGAGTGGTGAGGGAGCAGCACTGGAAGTGCTGTTGTGCAAACTAGAGAGCTCTCTACTTTATGCCATGAAGAAAGGCCAGAACAAAAACTTCACATGGCTTCCTTGTGTTCCTCCTTCCCACCCAGATACGCACTGAGCTGGAGATGCAGATGGTGTGTAACCTGCGGGAGTTCAAAGAGTTCATTGATAATGAAATGATAGTGATCCTTGGACAGATGGACAGCCCCACACAGATATTTGATCATGTCTTTTTGGTAAGTCTAACAGTGAATTCAAGAGTAAACATGCCTGACACTTCTCACTATGTCTTGGTTGACACAGGGGCCCCTGGAGGAACTTAAAGGAACTCTGAAGGGGAGATTGGCTGATCCTGGAGTCACACACTCTTAAGCAGGACACAAGACGCTAGTGCTATTGAACAAGAGCAGCCTGGCTTCTTGGCTGGACTAAACTTTGCCATAGAACACCAGCCAAGCTGTAGACCCTGTCGCTAGAGGATGGAAGGGAAAAAGTCTTAATTCTAACTACTTTTCAGGGCTGTTTCCATTGATGTAAGACCAGTTTTGTAGCTTTAACTGTCCAGGGTACCCACACGCTGAGTTCTTGGAGTATGCGTGTGTTTGGGAAGGGCATAACTACAGCAAAGAGGGAGGGGAGCTGTTGGGGAGAGCTGTGTAACGTTCAGGTGGAATGACACTCTTGTAACATGGAAAGCTCTGAGTTCATGTGATCCAGGAGGAACAGAGGAGCTTAACAAAGAATCGTGGATATAAGTCACTTAAGGAAAATGTAAACATTTCACCTTTTGATGTTTTGCTTGCTTAGTTGCCTTTCATTGCTGATGGGGCCTAATTACTGCACCTCCTTCTGGTGAGTCAGCACTCCGCTGGATTTCCCAGCCCTGAAGCAACGGACGCAGGTTTGATTGGGCTGTCTAGCCTCTGAGGTTGGCTCAACTTTAAACAAAGCCATTCCTCTTGGACCAGCTGGTCCTTCCAAATGGAGAGGGCCTCTCCCAGTCTCCTGAAGCTTAGTGCCGTGGCTCAGAAGGGAAGGTGTATGTTAATGTGAGCGCTCCCAAGAAATTGTGGTGGGGTAGAGACAGGAAACTTAAAGTACCTACAATGTAATGGATTTTTTTTTTTTGCAGACTATGTGTTCTCTGGGGAGAGAGACCTGTTACAGGCTTACAGTGCTAGTCAAAAGCAGTACAGGCAGTTCAGTCTGCTGCAGGGCTTGGAGTCTTGGCTCTGAGTGCATTTAATAGGAACAAGACCCTTAAAACAAGGCTTGCAGGCAGCATTAAGGAGAAGAGCTGTGGCTAATGTGTGGAATAGAAGTATTTGCAAAGCAGCTCTCTGCGGTGAGGAGCAGTGCTGCTGGGGCTGGGCACCAGCTTAATTCAGGAGTGTGTATACTGCAAGGCAAAGTCGTACAGTGAGGTCTCTGGAAGGCATGGAACTGTTTCCTTCCAGGTAGAGGCAAGAGCCCTGTGGGATCCCACTTAAGGAGTGCTAAAATAACTAAGCAGGAAATAAGAGACCTGATGATGTTGGTGATTGTGGATCAAAGGACAGGAGAAAAGGCTTTCACCACTGCAGCATTGTTCTCCATACCTGTGGAAACTGGTGGTTCCCAGGCGTGAATTAAATTATTCTTCCTTGGCCAGAAAGAGGCAACATGAAGCTAACTAAGTCTGGGGGGCTAGGGTAAATACGGCAGGGATCAAAATATGTTTGTTGGCAGATACTGAATAGCAAGAGCCCCCATAGTCCTCTTTCAGATCGTGCACAGCTCTGGGCTTTGCTGGGATTGACCTGATCTGTGGCTGAAGGCAATGGATTCTGTTGAAATCTGGGCTACCATGGCATGTAACATCTGCCCCTTTATTCTGCTTGAAATTCAGAGTCCCATCTGTGCTGAACCCTTGAATGGTGTCCTCATTATGATGATTTCTCTTAGGAAGTAGTTCAGTTTGGGAAGAACCAGCTGCTTTTTGTTTGTTGTATTCCTGAAGTGTCAAGACAAGACAACAGACTTGTCCCCAGTAGCTATCGGAATAGTAACGCAGCCCTTTCCTGTGCGTGTACTTCTAGACACAGGCTGTGAGAGCTCAGGACTTTTCTGCAAGCGCTGTCATGGGCGCAAGTGCGTGCCTGTGAGTCAGAGCTCTTGGAGCTCCCCCATCTCAGGCATGGGGTGCCTATGCACGCTTTCTGGGGCAAGCAGCAACCCATCCTCTGGGTGGACACTGCTTCTTCTGCAAGACTGGGAGGTTCTTGCTCTCAGGCTGATAGAGTTTGCAGGCAGGCGGTGGGTGTGCTCCAAGGGCCAGCTCGTCATGGCTATGCCTCTCCTGGCCCTGGGGCCATGTGGAAGCCTGTGCCATGGGAACAGCCATGAGCAGTGCTGTTCTGCTGGTGATGGTGGTGCTGCCTGGGTCCCTCTTGCTTACTCCTTCATCTGAACCGTCTTTCTATTTGGGAGCTATTTTAGGGCAGGGAAGCGGATAGCTTGTGCACCTTAATTTTTGAAGGAAGCCCTTGTCTGAGTGGTTTTGTCCTCAGTCAGGGTTTATGTGTTTGAGCAGGAAGCAAGCAGCTTGGAGGCCCTGTGTGTGCTGCAGAGAAGAGGGTTAGCTAGCCAGGGTTGAATGTGTATTTCTCTGCTCACACAGGCTTTGAACGTGGGGAAAAGAGGTGTAACCCAAGTAAGTTTACGGTGTTGCTGCCTTTGATGTGCGAGATGGGTGTTTCATGTATAAAGAGCACCTGGATGGTGTTTAAACACAGGCAGTCTCTCTTCTATGGGGTAGAGCTGTCAGCAGCCTCCAGGGAAAGGGTGGAGTGGTCTCATATTTGCTGAGGTTTTTTTGTTAGCAGTTTGCAGGAAGTGCCAGCATATAGTGCTGGGCTCCTGCTTTGCAGAGCTGCCTGTTGCTTCAGAATACCTCTGGTTTAATGGGGCGAGATAAGGTGCTGAACATCAGCCCTGTTACCACTCTTCTGTGTACCCTTTTACTCAAAAGACCGTCTGCTCTCCAACACTTAGCTGGCCAGCTTCCTCCTCCAGTTCACTGGTGACAATCCCTCCCTCCATCAGTTGTCTGGCCATGCCTTCCTTCTGGCTGATGTGTCCCTTTGAATGTTTTCCCCGCAGGGCTCAGAATGGAACGCCTCCAATTTGGAAGACTTGCAGAACAGAGGGTAAGTAGCTTCAGGCCATCAGCTTAAAAGCAAGAGCCTGGCCTCAACGCTTGTGTATGCAACAAACTCTATTCCATACCTGCTGTGTAACCTGAGTCTTACTAAAGGGTTTGCAGATCTGAACAAGCTCTTGCTTCCTCCAAACTCCGCGTCCCACAAACAGGCACCCTAAAGTAAAAGAATCTTGTTCCCTGACCTTGACTGACATCCCCTTGGCGAACGAAGGAAGCCAGCGATCTCATAGCTATAAGTAGCAAAAAGCTACAATTACTTAACTGGGTGCTGTGTAGTTGGCTCTGTGCCCTCTGCTCCAGCCCGTTGTTCTGGGCTGAGGTCTCACGATTACAGAGGCGCTTTGGAGTCTGGACCCTCCAGACTGTGGCAGGAAGGAAAATATGTAAGAGTATTTGTTGCTTTGAGTGGGGCCCAGTAGGAAGTAAAGTCCTGTAGCTCTCGGGCTTAGCACTGATGGGTTCCTCTGTCTCCTACCCTCTCTACCTTTCAGGCTTAAGCTTAGAGTGTCCTTTCCCTAGGCCAGGTGGATCTAAGCACCAAGATTTTGCAATTAAATCATTATTTATGGGTTTGGCTTATTTGTGCCAATCCAGTGGAAAAAACTAATCACTCTGCTCAATTGAATTGATAGCATACTTCTGTACCTCAAGAGAATCAGCCTGGCAAAATTGACTCTCCTCATTCAGTTCAGGGTCTGCTGCAGTTTCCTTGGGTCAGACAGGTCCTACTTGACTGCCAGCGATCTCATACCTGCTAGAGAAAAGGGACGTCACTCCCTTGCAGTGCTCTTGTTTTGTCTGATATCCCAGCATGAGTGCAGTTCATAAGCATCTTAGAGTAACCCTCAGGGCTAAAAATACTGGATGTAGTGTACGTAAATACCATATGCTTTCTCTAGCAGTTTCCCTTCCAGAAAAATTAGGGATAAGAAATAAATCCTCCCCAGTGGCTCATTGTCTGTTACATCTCTCTGTAGTTATTTTATGCATTTGTTTAACTATGGTATTGCTCCCGAGCTTATGCCTTCAATCTTCTAGTGTTGTTGGTGCAGCAGGAGGAGAGATTCACAAAGGGGCTTTGAGAAAGTGTCCAAACACTAATTGAACAGTCTGTGCGGGAGCTCCTGTGACACAAGTGTTGCTAGCACTTAGAGTAGAGAGATGGTGGGCAAGCAGTGTAACCTGACATACTGTAGAGGAAGTTTCTATGCAGTATGGATGGAAGCCCTTTTATCAGAGGCTAGGCTCTAAATTGCTCAGCAAAACCTTTTGTCTCTTAGCCGCTGCCTCCTTGCATTAAGTCCTGGTTTCCAAGGAGGTGTGTTCCAGACTGCAACTTCAAATGCTTTGAGTTTTGCCACTTGCAAAGCAAGGCAAGGCTGTTGTGTAGCAGCTGTGATATCTCTCTGAACTTGCTGTGTTCTGCACACTCTGCATTTTTATCTGCTGTTTGTTTCCATGCAGGGTGCGGTATATTTTGAATGTGACTCGAGAAATAGATAACTTCTTCCCTGGCCTCTTTGAATACCATAATATTCGGGTATATGATGAAGAAGCAACAGATCTTCTGGCTTATTGGAATGACACCTACAAATTCATCTCCAAGGCAAAGTAAGTCTTTTCAGAACAGAACAAACACATTTAGAAGATGTATACTAAACATTTTTATATTTTCCTACTGATTTTCTTAACTACTTTTCCTCCTTGCCTACCTAGGATCAAAGCATTTTCATTTTGTAGTTTCTGTCTAAGGGTTAGAGTTGCCTTCCGCAAATTTTCATTCTTGTGGGTGCTTGTACAAGGAGCAGGGTAGGACTAGCGAGGGGTTTCTGCCCAGTTGCAGTCCAGGCAAACAGTGGAGGAGACCATTCCTGTACTAGAGAGCTAACTGTTTGCTGGCTGCTTAGGAAATGCAATGGATCTGCAGAGGTGCTGGTGGGAGGAAAGGGCAACAAATCGAGCAGGGTTTAACAAAAGTAAGAAGCAAAACCTTATAAGCCAAACACAGACATAAGCTGTTCCCTGCATTGTGTGGTTGTATGATGAAGCCCACAGTCTGGAAGTGATTTCTTGTAGTGTCATGCTCCAGAGCAAACTCTTCCCTTTAACAGGACTAATGCCTGTGTAGGTCTCTGAGCGGTCAGTTACAGTGAATAATCTGATAGCGGATGCTGAAAGTAGGACCTTCTTACTGCAAAGAACTGCATCCCAGTTATACGAGCTGTCTCCAGTTAATTCAGCAGCCTTCTTAAGGGAAAACTGGTCAGAAAGCAGATTGGCATATGTTGCCTTTAAATTATTATTTCCATTATAGAAGTCTGTCATCTCTTATCCATAGCTGGTGCTTGCAATTTCTCATAGCCTTTAGAAGCTGACTTGTTTGAGTATGGCTCAAGACTTACTTTATTTAGGATGGTTTCTTTAAAAGACATTGTTGTAGTCCCTTAAGTATTGATTTTGAATTGTTGTCATCCTCAGAAGTGTTCTCCTGCCTACAATATTTTCCGTTGGGGTTTAAACGATTGGGCCTCAGTACTGTGTATGAGGTGATGTAAGTTATTATTATCTTCCAAATTGGGGCAATTACTGTACCCCCTTCTCTGCCCTGCCTGCTTGTTGTGTTTGGGGGTTTTTTTTAATCACCAAAAGCATTGCAATGTTTTGACTAACGCGATTTGCAAAGTTGAGAAAGTCTTAGAGCAGTCTAAAGGCTGCTATAGCCCAGTATACCCCAAACAGTGCGGACATCTCTCAGAGTGTCTGGGGAGTGTGGATGCAGGTACAGGCTCAGACAGCTGTGAGCAGCTGAGGCCTGAGCTTGTCAAGGCACATGGCTGTGTGCGCTCTGTGGCCTCCTGGTTTGTCCTGTGGGAACTTCACACAGCTGGCAATCCAGAAAACCTAGCGCTCCAGGGAGAAAATAAAAGTGCCAAACCCAAGTTCTCTCAGCCCGCTCCATACCAATGCTGCCCAGCACATGGAGTTCACAGAGGAGGGCTGTAGCCTTCCTCCTCGTATTTCATGGCAGACAAATGTTTTTTAATTCCTTGGAGCAGAGTGCTGGCTGCCCTTTTAGGCTCTGTACCAGCCTCACCAAGCAGAGTAGCTGCTCATTGCACTCAAAGGCACTGTTTGCTTTGAAAAATGAATTAAAGCTGAAGGATTTTCCATCTGATTGCAGCAGGGCGCTGCACTGCAGCCGTCATTTGAGGTCTCTGCCTCCAGCCATGGGGAGGTCATCTTTTCCACTCACTTGCATTTGGACCGGTACCGAGCGGGGGGGGTGAGATTTCTACCTATAGACAGCCCTAAGGAATGGTGGTATCAAGAAAAATCTGCCAGGTTGGTCCATGGGGCTTTTGGCTGGATTTTTGCACCTACCGGTGTCTCAAGAGACGTGGATGGAGGTGGGGTTTCAAACACCTGACTAAAGCAGCATTGGTCTTGTTCAGCCAGTTTGTCAAACCCAATAATATGCTGTCAAAGTTTGCAGTAGAACAACATCTCTGTGCTAGGGGCTGCCCTGAACTGCTCAGTATCTTCCAGGGGTGTGCTTCTAAACTGTGACACCATGTTTGTGTGATAAATGCCCTTTTTATTTGGAATACTGCTTGATACAAGTGGGCCATTTGGGCTGAGTTCAAGGATGCCATATTAGTCTTTAGCAGTCTTCGTAAATCTCTGCAAACAACTGATGTTTGGCTACTTTGCGATAAAAGCTTCAGAAGAACTGTTGTAATAAAATCTGTTAAGAATATTAAGACCTTGTTCTTCACTTTCTTTGTGTGTCTTGCTCCGGTTTCTAAATTGGATTATCAGATCACATCCCACACTTCAACTGTGGCCACAGTGTTGAAAATGTGTTTGATAATGCTCTGGTAAAGAAGTTGCTATTTTCTTAAGCTTCTCAGAGGCCGTGTTTTCTCTTTAATGATCTTCTTTTGTCTTTCTCCCGCTTCAGGAAAAATGGTTCTAAGTGCCTGGTGCACTGCAAGATGGGAGTGAGCCGCTCAGCGTCCACGGTGATCGCCTACGCCATGAAGGAGTACGGCTGGAACCTGGACAGGGCTTATGACTATGTGAAGGAACGGCGCACTGTCACCAAACCCAACCCCAGCTTTATGCGGCAGCTGGAGGAATACCAAGGGATCCTGCTGGCCAGGTGAGTGGAAGGAATGACCTGGATTAGCCGTGTTAAGGCATAACATTTAAATGATTGACTCCATTATTTTAATTAGAACTTCCATCACTGCATTATGTAAGCTCGTGATTGTCTTGGGAAAGATAGTGCTCTGTTTTCATGGGTTATCTCAGCTGAGCCTGGGAAAATGGGTGTAATAAAGAGCTTTTAGGAAGCTGTTTGGCTTCTAGGATGGCTGTTTTTTGAAGAGTAGCATCCCGTGAACTGCCATCCGAATGCAGCATTCAGAGCTGTGCAGACTCCAGCAGAGATAAATGATGGCCCTATTGCTTGTAACATCACTTGGCAGGGAACTTGCTTTGTCTCCATCTCAGCCTTACAGTTCCCTGTTGAACATGCCCCTCCTCAGCAGCTGGTCTGGTTTTATTTAGATCCCTTCGGTAAGTGTTGGTGTTAGGGGAGGGGACAGGATGTTCTGTGCATTGCAACAGCAGTGTTTATTCCTGCGTGGAGTCCTGAGGCCGGCCTGGAGCTGGGCCTGGGTATGGGTGAGTGTGTTGTAATCCCAAGCCTATCACCTGATTAGCAAAAAGACATAAATATTGCATGTTTCTGAGAAATCCACTTGTAAGCTGTCTTAAGCAATATCTTCACGTGATCAGCTGGAAGGAGGTAGTGATACTTTGTGTTTCACCAGATTACGGTATTTTGTTTAGGATCCTGGTGTGCTTTGCCAGGGAGCAGGTCTGAAGCAAGCAGAATTACCCAAGCTGAGCCTCCTGCTACAGGAGGTGGCTCTTAGCATGTTTTGACCAAAGTAATTATTTCATAGCTTCTTAGTGCTGTTGAAAGGTGCCTGCCTTATGCTGTTCTTTACAGCAACTCAGGTACTCATGTGCTCTATTTAGGGCATACTTCTCACCTCTGTCCTCTGCTTGGTTTTGTCCCTTTGGGTCTGTCCTATCCACTTGTGAAGACCTCCCTTCCCTTTTTCTGTGCTAATGACTTACCGTTCCTCCTTTGCTCTCCACCTGCTCTCGACAGCCTGGCTATCTCTGCCGCCAAGCCAGGTCTGGATTCCTGATTTTTACACCAAATCCTTGATGTAAGCTCCTTTTGTCACTGAAGTGTGCTTCCTCTTTCCCTCTCTGCACAGATTAGCAACCTGAGGGCTCCTCCCAGCTTATTTCCCTGATTAGGTGCAGCCACAGGATCTTTGTCCTCCACCTCTTCCCATGCCTGCTTTGCTTTCCCCCTGCTCCCCAAATGTTGACTGCCACAATGACCCCCTTTCTCTCTGAAAAAGTAGCCAAGTAGTATCGAGTCTCAGGAATAGATCATGGTGGAACAGGTATTTTAAGAAATCGTGCTCTTCTGGACTGAAATCCTTTGAGACAGACACCACACCTGCCTTTGGTGTGTTGTGTGACACCAAATGTGCTGCTGGCACTGGTTAATAAAGGTCAGTGCTTAACTCTGAGCTAGAGGTGACCTGACCAGTGTGGTGTGCTATGTAGCATTGGGCAGACTGGGGTAGACTGAATGGAGGAAAAGAAGCTTTTCAGACGGGAAAAGCATGCCAACATCCTTTGCAACAGGTTGGTGAACACCTGTGAGGAGCCCTGGGCTGGTAGCAGCTGGTATATCATATCTTCAAGCCCTCAGCCCTGCAGTTGGTTTAGGTAATTGGTCAGTCTGATAAGTGGTGGCACACCTGCAAAGCCACTTTGAGACAGACACCACACCTGCCTTTGGTGTGTTGTGTGACACCAAATGTGCTGCTGGCACTGGTTAATAAAGGTCAGTGCTTAACTCTGAGCTAGAGGTGACCTGACCAGTGTGGTGTGCTATGTAGCATTGGGCAGACTGGGGTAGACTGAATGGAGGAAAAGAAGCTTTTCAGACGGGAAAAGCATGCCAACATACTTTGCAACAGGTTGGTGAACACCTGTGAGGAGCCCTGGGCTGGTAGCAGCTGGTATATCATATCTTCAAGCCCTCAGCCCTGCAGTTGGTTTAGGTAATTGGTCAGTCTGATAAGTGGTGGCACACCTGCAAAGCCACCTGGTACAGACAAGGATTTTTTTTTTTTCCTGTCTTCCAGTAATGTATTTTTTAGGAGGTAAATCTTTCTTGCTGCCATCGTTTATATGGTGTGTGGCTCCCCTCCCACTTAAGCACACCACTGCTCCTGACCTACTCTGCAAGTCCCCATACAATGGCATGAACAGGATTACTCGTGAGGCTTTAAAAAATGCAAGAGCAGTGCATTACATCTGTGTGTGTAGGACTAAAAAGCCTGCAGTAAGCGAAGCTTCACTGAAGCAAGGAATGGCCTCTCTGTGCTGCAGAAATGGTCGCTCTTTATGCAGTTCCTTTCTCAGCTCCAAACTGCTTTTTCTCCTCTTTCTTCTCTGTGTTACTTAGCGCTGCCCTCTGGCCTCTGGCTGCCTTGTTTATTGCTGTGGTATTCCAGGACAGGTAAAAAAACAAAAACAAAAAAACAACAGATTCACGCTCATGTGACTGCTCCAATTTCAGAGGGAAGGTATGTGAGGGCAGCCATGTGCTCGCACTATCTAGTTACGGGTTTGTGTTGGGGTTATAGCAACTGGGATATGTTTTCCAGCTGTGAAATGACCCCCCCCCGCCTCCTTTTAGTCACAACAAGAAGCATGTTTTGCTCTTTGGGACTGTCATACTTCCTGGGGTTAGTTAAACTGTCCCCTCCCTCTGGTGATAGAGATGGAAAGGCTGAGCCAGCCCTGTTTCTTTTATTGGTTATGGATAAGTTACAGGAAAACAAGGTTTGGGATCCCCTATGCCTTGTGCAACTTCTGAATCAACAGCAGTAGTTTTATACCAGAGCCTGGAGAGCTGGCTGCAGCGTGGTGGGAGGCGTGGGGGGCTCCTGGTCCAAGGCTGGTGTGGACATAAGCTGGCCAGCCCTGGTGCTGCCCCAAGACCGTGTGCCATGTCTGGCACACTGAACGCCTGGGCTGCCGTGGGCTGTTCTCCCCGGCACCAGGAACGCTGCCCAGGAAGGTCAAGAGGTAGCTGTGGGCTCTAGGAAGGGACGTGGGCTCCTGTTCTCTGCCCCTGCTTTTACAACCTCTTGCAGGTTGTAAGACTGGAGGAAGTGTAAGATTAAAAGTTAATACAGTACACCTCTCCCAGCGGTTATTGGCATCTGTTTTGGTTCTCAGATCAAGGCTGTGCTAGGCAAGTTTGGTTTGTTCATGCACGAGGGTAATTTTGACCTTCAAAATCAGATGCGCATCAGAGTGCTGGATTTGAGCGCTGAAGCACCAGGATGGGAAGTGTCCTCAGAAAACATCAACAACTTCTCCCCAGGTTACGTGAGCAGAGACGTGGGAAATATTTGGCATCCCATACAGAGCCTCAGCAACAACCTGCCTCACAGACAAGCCTGCTGCCAGTGTCAAGCTTTGCTCCAAAACGCATTAGAGGCAGAGCATGTGCACCCCAGAGCAATGCCTTTGGCCTCTAGTCTTGACCCTCCTCTCCTCTGAAAGGACCTGATTCTGCCCTGTGTCATACATGAAGGCTGTAGCTGATTATGGGGTTAGAAAACTAAATCTGTGATGGATTATTTTCCTTAGCTGTTGGGCACCCAAAACTAAACTGGTACACTGTAATTAGTTCAATAGCATCTGTTAATTAACTTACTGCAGCCAATGGATGTGTCTGGGAGCGCCTGCTCACACTAGCAGGGGACTGGAGAGGTTTTGCAAGGTCTCCTGCAGATCCAAGGACCTTTCTGCAGTATCTGCTCTCCTCCTAGGGGCAAAGGGTGGAAGCACAGCCCTGTGGCCGTGGTCACTCAGCAAAGCCCTTGCAGACACGCTAGCTGGTGTGGTTTCACTTCACCTCCTTTGCTCTCTGTAAGCCCTGGAGCATGGGCTGGGTTTTTAGGAAGGTGGTGCAGTGCCGCTGACAGTTGCTTGGCCTGTGACTGCTCAGATCTTCCTAAAGGGGCTTTCCAAGAGCTGGAGGGCTCTTGAGCTTCCTTCCTGTGAAAGGCAGGTGGTGTTTTGGGCTGCTTGTTGACTGTTGAGGATGCCTTCTGTGTTTTACACACACCCACATCCACTCACCCCATCCCCTTGGTTACCAGAGCCCAGTTACTGATCACTGAAGCTATTCAGAGAAGGAGCCACAAGGGAAATGGGATTTCATTCACTGTCCACCATCCACTCACGTCCAGGACTAGGGACTCTGACTCTTCTGGCCATTGCTCACCTGCTAGCAAATGGAAAAGTACTTGCTGGCTGAGAAAGGACCAAATTCTGTAGTCGGTTAAACATTGCATTTGTTGAGTAGACTGATAAAATACTGCTGGGGAATACGTGTGTGTGGAGCAGAACAGTGCAGTGGGATTTAGCTACTGGAAAGTGGCTTGTTATTAGATCAACTTCTCCAGCAGCTGGTTTGGCCCTGAACTGTTTAGGTGAAGCTGCAGTTGTGGTCAATGACTCCAGTATTTGGCACGGTTTTTCATGTAGGTTGCATCCTCTTACGACAAAGTGGGTCTGGCCCTGGTATGTGAAAACACTACTCAATGTTTTCATTTGCTTTTCTTCCCTGCAGCAAACAGCGGCATAATAAACTGTGGCGCTCGCACTCAGACAGTGACCTCTCGGACCATCATGAGCCCATCTGCAAGTCTGGGCTGGAGCTGAACAAGAAGGAGATCACCACCTCGGCCGACCGGATCTCAGAGGCCAAGACCAACGACAACCAGCAGCCCATGTCTCCCATCTACTCAGCTGAGCTAGACAGGGAGCAGCAGCTCCCAGAGGATGCAAACATGATTGAGGACATGTGTGTGAAGGAGAGAAGGATCCACCTAGAGTTTACATGTCGAGACCTCCATGCTGAGCAGATGGAGGACAAGCTGAACCTGAACAATATCAGTGGCTGTACGGCAGGATGTTGTGTAGACTCTGTCCCCCCTGATAACTGCCATGCTTCTGAGGCCTTAATGCAACTCCAGCACCCCTTGGAAATAAGAGAGTTTCCTGATTTGACAGTGGACGATCTAGAAAAAGATGCCCTTAAGCCTGATATGAACGTGCACTTGGTTCCCATGGAAGAATTCACTTCGTGCTTAAAAGACTTTCCTCAATCCCCAAACCAAAATTCCCTGAGTCTCCAACAGAATCCCCAGGCTGAAGTGACAGACCTCAGTACAGACAGGATTGATTTCTTCAGCGCTTTGGAGAAATTCGTGGAGCTTTCCCAGGAAAGCCGGTCGCGCACCTGCTCCCATTCCAGGACGGAGGAGCAAGGGAGTGGAAGGAACGGGGTCTCCAGGGTGCCTGTGCTGGAAGTGTCTCCTGCTGCAGATGGGGGTGCGGATGCTCAAAGGAACAGCTCTGGAAACTCTCCTCAGGCATCGGATGACTCTTCCACAGATGAAGAGCAACAAAAGGTTAAAATAACTTGCTTGGTTGTTTTTTAGGAACTGCTGCTTGAACCTATCTGCAAGTAGTTCTCTTGCTGTGAGGTTGCTGTGGACAGGGGATTTTCTAGTCCTGGCTTTCACTGAACAGGGTAGCCGTTTGGGGAGGGATTGCTAGATACTTCCCCTTTCTTCACTTTTAGATACTTGCCCTTTTCTGCACTTTTTCCTTAAACATCTGTTTGCTGGCAGTGGCAGGGCACTGGCTGAGTCGACCTTAAGCTGACCTGCTGTGCTGTTCTTATGAGAAACTTATTTTTGAGTTTTGCATCAGGAGAGCAGATAGGTGGGACTTGACCCACTAATGCAGCTGAACCCTGAACAGCCAAGGCCAGCCAGCATCCCGAACCTGCGCAGATATTTATCTGACTTGAGAAATCCACCAAAGAATGGGACAAAACTGGCACCTTTCCCTGGTTGGGAAGCACCAGCATTGGGATAGTAAATCAAGGCAGGTGTAGAGCTTCCACTGCTGGAGGAAGAGAATGAGCCTGTCCAGGCCTGGGGTGATGGGATCAGGCATGTCATGGCTCACTTCTCTCCTGGGTAGAGAGTGGTTCCTGACAAAATTTAGTAACCTCCGAAGTGAGGTACCTTTCTCTCATAATTGCTTTCCCCGCTCCAGGGCTCTCACAGGGATTGATGATGTCCGGGGCCATGATTTTCTGGGAGCCTCTCTTATTTAAATTCCACGCTGCATTGCTTGAATCTTTTCCATCTCTATGTGAGGCAGTAAGGCTCTTCCGAATGTAATAGGCCAACGCTCTCTCCAGTGATTTGGCAGAAGGAGCGTCTGTGCGGATGGGGGAGCCTCTCTGGCCATTTTCCTCCGGGAAACCAGAGCATTTCAGCACTCGGTCATTCTTTATGCTGTACTTCTGTTCACTCCTGTACGTGAGCAGAATCTTTCACGTTTTCAGTTTAAAACTGCACTTTTAGCAGCATTAGGATTTTTTTTGCTAACTGGACTTTTTGTTATTAAAAAAAAAAAAACAGGCTAAATTTCCCTTGGAATTCGTGGCAATTAAATAAAAGTTCTTAAATCTCAGCCTAGGTGAAAATACAGCCTGAAATGTGTTAAATGTAGTCCCAGAGACAGTATTGCTTCTACGTTATGATCACGGCACTTGCAATCCGTCTGCACACGCTGGCACATGCGCTTTTTGTTCCTTTGGGGATGTGCACCCCCGTTTCCTTTAAGCTGCTGCCATTTGCTCTGTGTCAGCACAGCTGATCCATTTTGTAATTCTCCTGTTTCTGTGTTGCAGGAGGTCCCTGAGCTGCCTAGTGCAGGCCATCTCACGAGATCCCACTCGGAAAATGCCATTTCTGTGAAGGAAATTATCACAGAGATTGAGTCAATCAACCAGGGAGCAGGACCTGCCCAGCAGAAGGAGGCTTCAGCCAACCTCACCCAGACACCAAAGAGGAACACGGTGCACGACCTGCCAGTGGAGGCAATTTGGGTATTGGAAAGGGTTGAGCAGAGTGAAGGAGCCTGTGCTGGACACCAGGAAAAGGAGAAGGACCCTCTGCAAGCTGAGCAAGAAGCTGCCCCCTCCCTGCAGCTGTCTTCTGGTAAATCAGACCTGGAGGAAAGCAGCCCTGGGGAGGAGCAGCAAGAGCCTCGCAGCTCCATCAACCCTGAGCCCAAGTGGTGCCCCGGCTCCGTCCGGCGAGCCACCCTGGAGTTCGAGGAGCGCTTGAGACAGGAGCAAGAGCACCAGCACGCATCCCCGGTCTGCATCTTACCGACTCGCAAGAACTCCAGGAACGACTCTCCTGCTGCTGAGCTCCTGCCACGGGGGAAGAGCGAGGAGCCGCCCCTGGAGCTGGCTCTGGAGGGTGACAAGGCACGGGGTCCAGGCACTGAGGAGCTGCTGCTGCCTCCCGGGGCAGAGCTGCCTGCAGGCAGACACCTGCCTGCACCCCTCGCCTCCTCTGCACAGGAGTCCCTGCCTGCAGAGCCCAGCCCGGGGCAGGAGGGAATGGCACAAGAGTGCAGGACAGTGGTCTCATTTGATGGGACAGAGGAGCCATCGTTGCCCTCCCTCCTCCCAAAGAGAATTGAAATCATCGAATACACTCCCACAGAAAAGTCTGCAGAGCGCCCCGATGCAAGCTGTGAGCAGGGCGGGCTGGCCGCAGCCATCCCGTCTTTAGATGAAAACTTGAACCCTTCATTGTGCTCGGAGAAGGCACCGACCTGTCTCAGACCTCTGACTCTGGTAAATCTCTCGCTGCCGGAGCATGCGGTACAGAAGCAGGCCACCTTCACTGTGGGCAGCCCCAGTGAGGAAGGTGGTAGGTTATCTGTTCACCTCAGTGCTGCTTCCCCCTCTGCCCAGGTGACCTCTACGCCTTCAGCCAGCCTAGATCGCTCTTCTTACCCCTGCGTAATTCACCTGGAAGGCGTCACTGAGCAGAGGGTACAGATGCAGGCCACCTTCACTGTGGGCAGCCCCAGTGAGGAAGGTGGTAGGTTATCTGTTCACCTCAGTGCTGCTTCCCCCTCTGCCCAGGTGACCTCTACGCCTTCAGCCAGCCTAGATCGCTCTTCTTACCCCTGCGTAATTCACCTGGAAGGCGTCACTGAGCAGAGCACGGGTACAGATGATGAGCCAGTCACGCCATGTGGCATTGAGGGAGACACGACTCTCCCGTTCAGGGACAGCCCCAAGCCTCTCTGCAGGGGGGGTGCTGGCATCTCGAGGCAGCTGAGCGGCAAGGACTTCACCAGCCAACGTGCTGAAAACATGGACCTTCTGGACATCTCTTTCCTGTGCTATGGCCTCCCCCACAGCTCCAGCAGCCACAGCGTGGAGGGGCGCAGCAACAGCCCCGGGCTGGTCAAGCAGCGAGCAAAGGAAATAGAGGCTCGGATCCGGCATGCGGGGCTCACCACACCCTCCCACATGAAACGCTCAGCGTCCTTAGCCAAACTGGACTGCCTGGACCTCTCCAAGGATGACTTGTCCGAGAGGGAGTTGGCCTCTTCCGATGCCAACCCGGTGCTTCTCACCTGCGTTGCCCTCGGTCGAGGTTTTCGCGGGGGGAGGTTGGAGAGGGGCTCGGAAAGCATGTGCGGAAAGCATCTCCTTTCTTCCCCAGAGCCCACTAAGCATTTTGTGGAACAGCTCAGAACAGCCGAGTGCATTGCCCAGAGCAAGCCAGTGGAGAGGCCGCTAGCTCAGTACGCCAAAGAGTGCGGCTCCAGCCAGCAGAGTTTGTTTTCCAGCACGGATCCAACGTGGACTACCTCCGAGGAGGATCCTCCGCTGCTCCAGGTGCAGGTCCTGGACTCCTTGTCTCCGGCTCGAGGTCTGGCTGTTGCACCCCGGCAGCAGCACGGGAGAACTCATCCTCTGAGGAGGCTCAAAAAGACCAGTGATAAAAAGCGGACAACCAATCCCCTCTACAATACTATGTGATCCTGAGCCCTCGGCTGTGATTTCTTACTGACAACCCGTGGTGTTGCGTTCACGCAAGGGGCAGGTGTAATATAAGGAACATGCACTTTATTGGTTAATTTTATATATATTGTCATTTTACTGTTCCTGGCGCATGTAGGTGTGGGTTGGTTCTTCTGTGTGTGACTCTGACTGCAGGACTGTTTGGGTTTTTTTAAGTTTTTTAACTCTGATAACCTCAAATGTTCTTTTTTTGTTAGTTTGTTTTAAAAGAACACCTTTATCATGCGAAAATTTATGTTGGCTTGCTTCGGCAAGGTGGAGTTTTGCTTAGAACCAGGTCCTAGTTCCTAACTTGAATTTTCCCCATGCCTCAACATGGTGCTGGGTGGTTGTTGGGGTGAGAGCCCCCGTAAATGTGAAGGCTGTGCCAAGGTCCCTTTGTTTGGCCTTTCTTTTATTTCTGCAAACTGGAACTCCACGATACTGGCAGATCACTCACAAAGCTGCTTCAGGACAAACCCCCTGGGCTCGGTTCGGCTGGTGCATCCCCAAAAGGAGCACGCAGGGGTAAATCCTCCCAACGGGTGGGCTCTGAAAACCCCGGGCAGCCTGGCACTGAGATCAGCGCTCACCTCCTGGTGTGGGTCGTGCAGAGCCCTCCATTTTGTGGTGAGGTGGAGCAGAGCTCCTCCACGAGTTGCCAAGCTCACCTCTCCTCGGCTGCCCCAGACCAGCGGGCGAGAGGAGGAGAGCCCCCCAAGCCAGAGTGTTCTTTTAAAACAAACGCCTCGTTAGGGTTTTAACCCTCCCATTACTTGAATACTGCTGTGGGCCTTCCAAGTTCATGGCCATATCATCTGTCCTCTGCCCTCCTGCTGCCTCCCCTCCGCCCAAAAGCTGTTCTTGTCTCGTGCTGCCTGAGTTTTCCTCTCCCCTCTGCCATGCTCACAGGCATTTCTGGTCGCTCCTAAACCTAGAGGCTGTTATAATTGTTTCACGACATACTGCCCCTACTGAATGCAAAGCTTTGTCCTCTCTGCTGTCACTCCTAACACTCAACCCGGAGGGAAGATCTTTTCTGGAAGTTTTTTCTTTTTTTTTTTTTTTGCCTAAATTGTATATATGGTATTTATACAGAATTTTTTTTTGTCATTTCTATGTTGGTTTGTGAATTTTTTTTTTTTAAAAAGGGCAAGACCGCATTCTGTAAACTGGAAAACAAAACCACCTTAATCAAACTCAGTGCTGTTCATTGTAATCCGCACAGAAATGGGAGTGGATTTGACATTGTAAGCTGTCTTCCCTTTCCAAAAGTGAGCCTCGATGCCAGCCTTTGCCAAATGTGTCCCTTCTCCTCCAGTCCTGCGTGAATCCCTGTTACCCCCCTGCGGGAGGGAGACTGCGTATCTGCCCGTCTCCCTCTTGAAGCTGGGTTTCAGAAGTGCCAGTCGGACGTGGAAAGCCGTCGGCTGCTCCGAGCCATTCTGCAGGTTCTTGCTTCCCCAAGAACCTGCGTTTGAAGGGTCTGCTCCAAATTTCAGCAAATTAATTTTACGGTTCCTGAGCAGTTTGGCTAAATCAAAGCTCCTCATTTCCAGCCGTGCATATCAGCAAATTGTATGTGTACTGTAGGAGCAAAGAGAAAGGCATTTGGCGGTTGCAGGAGAGCTCTGGGTCCTGTCTGCAGTCCCGTGGCAGGTCTGTGGCAGAAGAGCGTTGTCTGAGCTGGTGCTTGGCTCTGGCCCAGACCTGCCCTCCGGGGAGGAGCGAAGCAGAGAGAAGATGCAGAATGGCTCCAGCTGCTGAAAGCCCAGCATGGAGAGGATGCGGTGTGGGAGGAGCAGCAGACAAGTCCATGCCTAGAAAGCAGCACTGATGCTGCAGAGCCTTGCGGGCTCTGATGGGACAAAGCTCATCTTGAACCGGAGAGGAGCGCACGGCACCGGAGCGCTGTGGAGTATTGGGAAGCAGCATGTGCCTGCCCTGGGGAAGGGGTGTCTGTAACCCCCCAGCTTACCTGCAGCCAGCAGCAGAGGATAGCCTAGCAGTTTGCAAGGTAATCCCACCCTGCTGCCCTCCTGTAGCTCCCAGGGGTCCTCCCGCACTGCCTTGCAGACCCTGCATGCCTGCAGCCCAGGCATGGGGCCGTGAGCATGTCTGTCCTTCTCCGGCAGCAACACGCACTTCATCCCTCCCCTTCCAAGGAGCTTGAGGTCTGCTGGGGGGGGTTTGTCACCTGTACTAGCCACAGGCTGGAGCGCAGCCCGAAGTAGCCCAGCAGGGCCCTGTCTTGGGTCAAATAACACATCATCCCAGGCCATTTCAGTCACTAGAAGTCACCCAAGTCCCTGGCCCAGGTGGCCAGATACTTCTTTGGGACGCTGAAAGACATTTGGCTTCTCCTAGCCAGCTCCAGCTGGCTTCAGAGCTAGGCAGGCAGTGTGGAAAGGCCAAGTGGCTCGTGTCATCTTGTGAAGGACAATCTCAGTCCTTGCCTCCCCCACCGTTCCTGATTCCAAGGACAAAGGACATGTCTGCCTGCCCCTCCACGGGCAGAAGGGACAGGGTGCCGCCAAGCCTGCCCTGTGTTGGAGGGAGCATGCTTGTCTGGCAACATGTCCTGGTGACAAGGATCTGCTCGGGAGGGGAAAGCCCTGTATATAATTTGTTCCCTTGAGAAGGGAGGAGGAGGAAGGGGAAAGGGTTTCTTTGCCCAGCTTGATCTCAGGAGAAGTGCCCTATAGGAAGGCTCTTCCACGCAGACCCGAAATGCTGCTTCCTTCCAATACTCTGCTGCTGTCCGGGTGCTTCAGCTGGGGAGAGCAGCGAAAGGGCAGAGGCCCTTGCAGAGAGGTGCTTTGCTGTCCCCTTGTCCTCGGCTCTGGCCCAGCACAACTGTGGTTTTTCTCTGGGAAGCCTGTGGACAGGCGGAGGGAGTTGGGGAAGGTGGTTCTCTTGCAGAGTTATGAAGGCCTTGGAGGTCTGGAGGCTCTGACCTGGACGGCAGAAGGGAACGGGCTGGAGGGGCATGTGGCATGCAGCTCTCCGGTAGCCCTGGGTCCTCCTTGGCCAGTGTCTGGGCAATGAAGCCACTAAGCCCCTGGCGTCACAGGTCTCTCTGCCTGGGGATGGTTGTCCCTTCTCCATGCTGGTGGCTCATGGGTGGGTGGTGGCTCGCTCCTGGTCCCTGTGGCTGCCCCATGAGAGCTTCTGACCCTCCAAGCACCGCAGGGAGCAGCACCTTCCCCGGGTGGGAGGGAGCAGCACCTCCAGAGCGCTTGGCAGCTGACAAGCTTTGCTGATAGAGGGGGTTTAGGACAAACGTGTTGTTTTAAGGGCATTTTTGTACAAAGCAACTGTTCTTTTGGTCTCTTGCAAAGCCCTCTCGGAGGATGCTTTATTGTTTACATTGACTCCTGTACAATATCTCAGCCATCGCCTCCCCCCTTGCCCGCCCGATCTCCGGCTGTACTGTAACGTGTGAGCCTTGCACAAACGGATAGTGTGTGCGTGAAACTGGTTTTTACACTGCGTTCTGTTGCACTCGATGGTGTGTGTGCGTGTGTGCGTGTGTCCGGTCTGCTTGAGAAGTTGTGACATGTACAAATCTCTCCCCTTTCGGCCCTTTCCTGGGGGCATGGTCCCAGCGGGTGGCAGGGGGGTCGGGAGGTGACGCCGCTTCTGGCTCACTTAGATGTTAAATGGGGCAGGGATTAGCTCCGTGTCCCTCTGCCAGCAAAGGCCTGGTGGAAGGTATCCCACCCCAGCTCCAGCTGCTCCAGGGACCTCCTGGAAGGAGCAAGGTGCTGGGAATCAGTATGGGCACCGGGGCACTGCACCTGCCCGAGGGCTCAGAGAGCCCCTCAGCTTTCCCAGCCCGGCGGCAGGAGGAAGCCATACTCGCCGCAGGTCCCCTGCTCCTGTCGCGGTGCGTCCTGCCTTAATCTGGTCCTAGCTCCACGCAAATCCCCATGCTTCTCCCTAAGGGAGGGACACCCACCCCCCCGAGCCCTTGCTGGCGTGGGGCAGAGGTGGGCACTGGCCTGGCGCAGGAGGGGTCCGGGCTGGGCAGAGGGCTCTCGGTCACCCTCCGGCAGTGCTGCCAGAGGTGCTAACTGCCCGCCCACGCTGCAGACATCTCTGTTGGCACAAAAGCAGGTGCCAGTGCCTTTTATTTTCCTGTATGGAGATGTGATGTCCGTGCGCTGGTTTGTAGGGATTGCCCTGGGGCCGGGCAGGCTGGCCGCACCGCGTGCTGGAGCATGAACCCTTGGGGACAGCTGGTGGTAGAGTTGCAAACCAGGGAGGGGAACGCTTCTGTCTGCCCCTCCTGGATCTTCCTTGGTGGCTGGGATCGTCCCCTTTCCCCTAGAGACTTTATGACCGATGTGCTCAGCTGTTTTTAAATGTGAACTTGTGCACTGATGTGCAGATTCAATGTTCTTGTTACCGAATGAATAAAGTTTTATTTTGAAGATGATATGGGCGTGCTGCCTCCTGTTTGGGATCGGGACTGGCGGCAATGAGTGATCTGCGCTGCTGTCGGAGCACGGGGCGGCAGCAGGCGTCTGGGGAGCCAGAGCAGGGTTGTTCACTTGCATCCCCTGCCAGACGCGTAGATGGACCCATCCTGTCGCAAGTGACCTCCTGTGCAGGGGCCGAGGAGCCGTGCGCCCAAGCAGATGCTCTCCCAGCTCCTGCTGCGGTTGCAGGGAACGTGCCAGAGGTTGTGTATTTAAAACTGTTGGGATGCTGCGGGTGCCCTTGCTGCACTGCTGTAGGCAGAGGAGCTGTGGGGAGGGTCCTGGGCTTTAAGCTCCAAGGGGGATGCGAGGTTTTAGCAGGGACCCTGGACCGGACCCACTGTGGCTGGCCAAGGAGCTGAGCCGAATCCAAGCACCGAATAACTGCAGCGCAAGTGAATCTCTGCATTGGGAAACAGCCCGTTTCAGGTGAGTTGGTTTTGCTCCGTCGTGTCCCCTGTCATGGCAAGAAAGCATGGCGCAAAGGTCTCTGCGGGCTCCCTCTGGCCTTGCTGTGAGCGAGGGGGTACAGAGAGAGCCAAATCCCTCGGAGCTCAGCCTCACCGTCCCTGCATGAAGCTTCCCACTGGGCCAGGGCTGAGTGGGCACCAGGGTGTGGGGCCAGGGGTGCGGGGCCGTCGCTGCAGGGTATGGCTGGCAGTGTCCCTGGGGTGTCCCATCCCTTCCCCCTCCTGCACAGCACCAGCTGGGGAAAGGCTTCCCAGGGCCTTTTCTCCACTTGCTGGGGATGTGGCTTGGAGTTGGGGACATAGGACACGGGGCTAGCTCCATCCCCAAGCTCCAAGGGCAGAGTGAGCCAGGGCCATGGAGGGATGGGGCAGGCAGGGGGTGCCTCTGCACCCCCCTCCCTCCCTGCCACCCCTTTGGCCAGGCAAACAAGGATGTCACCTTTTCCCTGCCTTTTTGCCAGCTGCCCCCTCCTGCCCAGCTCAGCCAATGCTCATCCGGCTCCGCTCAGTGCCCTTGTAGGGTCCAGGGCTTTGCTGCCTTTCCAGGAACCACGGCTCCCCTCCCACAGGTCCCCGAGCCCTACAATCCCTTAATCCCCTTGGGCCAGGGCATCCCTGCGGGGCTGGGCTCTGCTAAATCCCAGATCTGGCTTCTGAATGTGCCTGTAACCATCCCGCTACGCAGGTCCAGGGCTGGCGTGGGCTCACTCCCGTGGGCTTGCAGCCCCCTCGCTCCCGGGGGGAGGCGGCAGCAAGCCCATGGGGTGCTGTGGGTGTCGGGAACCCCGGGGCCAGCCCATGGTCATGCTCTCTGTGGGGCTGGACTGGCCCCAGGGTGCGGGGGGACCCATCACAGGGGCGCAGCCCTGCGGGATGCCCAGAAGCCCCGTGTCCCACTTGAGCCCTGGGCAGAGGTGACCCTGGGGGTGATGGCAGCCGGGGGGGTGTCGGGGGCTGACCCTCCTCTTGGTTCCCCCCAACGCTTTGGGAAGACGCTGCCTGGCAGGAGGGGACAGAGGGGCTTCTCCTGCCCCCCAGCCCTCCCGCAGCCCTGGGCCGAGGGGCTCCCATGCACCGTGCCGGGGGGCTGCGGGCACCCTTGGGCCCCCCCCG